AAGAACACAAGTGTCCTACAACAAATACGCTGACGGACACTCCAGATCTATGTCTCACTGGACTGCAGGAGAACAAGGACCACTGGATTTGCTCCTTCACTGTACAACAGATCATTGACTGGAGCAATATAATTTCCTCCAGCCACATGCAGGACAAAACGAAATCATTGTCTTTGGTCCCCAGAACAAAGGAGGCACATTTGTCAACTTCAGTCTCTCTCCCTACTTCCTTCACAAGGTCAGAAATTTGGGGGTAATACTAGACTCAGACCTAAATTTCAATAGCACATAAAATCATAACATCACAGCTTTTTACATCTGAAGAACATGCAAAGTTAGAAATATAGTGTCCAGGGCAGACTTGGAAGATTCTTGTCCATGCATTTGTCTCCAGCAGGCTAGACTACTGCAATGGCCTGGCTTACGGTCTGTCCAAACTGACTCCGTAAGCAGCTGCAGTACATCCAAAATGGCAGCAGCTAGAAGTCTGACAGGAAACCGGAAGTATGACCATATTAGTCCGGTCCTCAGGTCTCGCAATGGCTTCCTGTGGCTCAAAGAATAGATTTTAAAAGGCTTCTGCTTGTGCTAATGTCTCTCATGGCCTTGAACCAGAATACATTAGTGACATTTGGTGTCCATATGAACCGGGCCCGGACTCTGTGGAGCACAGGACTGGCCTCCTGCTGGAGCACAGAGTGAGAACCAAACAAGGGGAGGCGCGTTTTCAAGAATCCATGCAGCTAAGATCTGGAACAATCTACCTGAAAATGTGAGGGAGGCGTCTCACATATGTCAATGTTCAAATCCAGGTTAAGACTGTCTTTTTTGCCTGTGCATATAACTGAAGTAATTTTTATCTCCATTTTAATGCACTGCTGTATTATTTATTTTTTTTAAATTTTGGTATTTTGAAAAGTTTTAATGGTTTTATTCTTTTGTGTGATTTTAATGTTTTTAATTGTGTTTTAATCTTTTGTGTGATTTTAATGTTTTAATTGTGATTCTGGTGTTTGTTATATGTGATTGATTTGTGATGTGGACTGTGGAAGCCTTTGTGTTGCCCTGTGTATGAAAGGCTGCTCTACAAATAAACTTTGATTGATTGATTGATAATTAATAAATGCAGTATTTATCAATTGAGGGGTAGATGCAAATGTCGTCAACCACGCCCACCTGCGAACTAGATGAGTGTTGACGGGTGCGATCATTGATGGTTGTCACCCTGCGTGGCCTTTACCGTGATCAGGAACCGTGACAATACAACGTTGAAAAACGGACGATTTTGTCTTGTTCTGGTCATTTAAGAGTGCAACACGAATCTTGGTGTTTCTTGCCGGTTGGAGATCGCAATGGAAGACGCAGTTGTGGAAAAGGAGCAGAAGTGGGAGTATACGCTAAAGCCACCAGCTTGAAGGCCAGAGCGCATCAGCGCACTCACTGAGGACTGAAGTGTTTACCTGTACGCTACGGTAAAACATTTACAATTATGTATACTACAAGGCGGAAGATGTAGGAGAGTTGGAGAATGCAATGGGACGGAATGAGGAAAATCTAATGACTTTTGTCTGCTGCGGAGATATATGATCTCCACCCGTTGTACAATCGTTGGGAGCATCTGTGAGTGAGAGGACAAGACCTTACCTCGTGCAATGAGGACTATCATACAGAATCTGGAAGGAGAGATGTTGTCTTCGCTCGAGGATGAGAGGATTATCGTTGTTGCTCATTGATACTGACCGCATTGATGATTAAGAGTGTACCCTCAGTACTCCTGCTGCGGCCAGCACTCCCTCTGCTGGATACAGCAGGTACTGCATAACATACCAAAGTGCACTGCTGCACCCACTAATTCAGGTGCCGTTTCCATTGCGACATATGACTCCATTAAATGCCAACACCATTTGTGCACCAATTGTACAGGAAAAGAACTAACGATCAATGGGGACAGATTGGTGAACCACATCAAAAAGACAATTGGATATTCCCAGTTTGGAGAGTCAAATCCAAAAGCACCTAAATAAAGGTTACAGTGAGTCGGACGAACTGGACTCCAGGAGACCACCAATTCAGTTTGTGCTCAGAGCAATGGACTTAAGACGGCAAATTTTTATTTGCATTCCGAAAAAGGGCGAAAGTGGACTCTCAAATACAGCCCGGATTTAATCAAAGACAATTCTTTGCAAACTGTACTTACGAGGTGATTGACGGACACCATAATAACTGATTTAAAGCCATATCTACGAAGATACAAAAGTGTCTGAAGTGCTTTAGGAGAAGTTTACAGAAGCATACACATGAAATGGAATGAAAAAAACCATTAGCGACCAAGTCAAGAGCAGTGATAATTTCTGCAAATGGGGGAGGACTTACAATTAACTGGAGAGCACAGCCCAAACAACCGACAATAACAAGCCCAGAGAACCCCAAGTGGACTTGACTGGAAAAAGTGGATCAAGGCATAAAGCAATTGTGAAAGCTATACAACAACTGTCTACACAGCTTCTCCAGCCTCCAGCAAGCCCAAAGACCCCACCCACCACACAGATCTAAACCACCCGCGGGCAGGACTTCAGGCAACGCCAGAGACCCCGGGAGGGTGTCATCATTGCCAGATCACCAATCCTCAAGGCAAGTGTAACCACAGTTATAAATGTGGCGTTTGACCACTGGGCTATTGGCTGTCGTAAAGTCACTCATGTTTCAGCCTCGTCTAATTAAATTGGCACTTGGGTACCATCTTGGTAATGACTGATGCCCAGTTCAACGAACAGCCCTCTCGATTCAGATTCATTTTATTAGCCATGTGCAGTATAAAAAACTACTTGATACATTTGCAAAAAAGGTACTCTGTGTGCACCGACAGACCAAATAGCACGATACATGTAATATAAAATACACATACACTGAAATAAAAGAATAATAAAAAAACAGCTGTCACTGTGGCACCGATCAACAAAAACGATACAAGGGGTAAGCAGGACTTAAAGTTCTCTGTTTAGCGAGATGATCTTGCATCTCAGCGACCGATATCTTCTGCCAGAGGGAAGACGCTGGAACATGGCCTTTCCCAGGGTGGTGACCAGAAGAGTCATTGATGATTTTATGAGAAAAAAAAACACTCTGTTTAAAAGTCTGGATTATAAAGAACCTCCAGAACAGGAAGGCTTACAGCCACAGTCTCCTTTTGCAGAGCGAAGAACCTTGTTTAACGTCTTTTCTTTATTTGTGATGTTATCCGAACCACACATCACAGAAACCCCCCCCCCAAAAGGTAAACTCACAATGGTGCAGGATAAAGTTATGCAGTTTCTTAGAGTTAGTGGTAAATTCTCTAAGTTTCCGCAAAAAGAAGAGCCGCTGACGAGCTTAAATTCACGGTGCACAACGGAGCTCTTGCAGCGACGCCCTCGGCGACGGCGCCATCTTGGAGTTTCTCACAGTACGCAAGACAAACCGCTAAAGCTAGAGGGACGATATGCCTCTGTCAGCCCAGTTTGAAGATAAAAGTATCTAAAATGAAAGTGCACCTGCTATTGTTTTCACACACAGCACGATAACGTGGTTTCGCAAAACCAATTCACTCGCGCTGTACGTGATCTAATGCCAGTTTGCGATTATTCTTTTGCTTATTTCATTGTTTACATTGCAAAAGATTAAGAGATTCTTTATTCGTCCCACAGTGGGGAAATTTCAGTGTTGCATCACAAGTTATAGAACGGTAGGAAAGAGGAGCACACAGCACAAGATAAGCGAACAATAGCTATACTAATTAAAGTAAAACAAAAATTCTGACTCTAGCATCAAAGAAAGAGTATAAAATCTCTATCCTGAAAATAATAATAGAAGTGTAAAAGTTTTATATTTTGCAAAATAAGAGGCAAGTATAAAGTGCTGTGTATTCCAGTGTAAGCAATGTGTAGTTTCATGTTAGCATCTGTACATTAGCAGCAATATGTTTACATCTGTGAATTAGCAGTAGTATGTTTACATCTGTACATTAGCAGTTGTATGTTTACATCTGTGCATTAGCAGCAGTATGTTTACATCTGTACATTAGCAGCAGTGTGTTTACATCTGTACATTAGCAGTTGTATGTTTACATCTGTGCATTAGCAGCAGTATGTTTACATCTGTACATTAGCAGCAGTGTGTTTACATCTGTACATTAGCAGCAGTATGTTTACATCTGTGCATAAGCAGCATGAGGCTCTGAGACACAGGGACTCAGTAAAGTGACAGTGACATGTGGTTATTGCACCTTCTGATATAAGTTAAGGACATTGCAACGATGCATGACACGTGGGATCAAGTTGGCAGTGTTCATTAGTCCTCATGGTTTGTTGTACAGTCTGACAGCAGCAGGAAGGAAAGACCTGCGTAACCTCTCCTTCGCACATCGAGGATGAATAAGTCTGTCACTGAGGCTGTCACCCCCTGCAGACAGTGTCCTGCAGGGGGTGACAGTTAGACATTCTGTTTACTCACACAACACACTAATCATGAACAATTTGCACTACACATGTTTTGAGACCCAAGCATAATCCACACAGTGATTATGTGCTTATTTAATTGATTGATTCAATAATCGATCAATGAACCAATTGATTAGTTGTTAGATCCTGAAAGGTCTGTGAATATGGGATATTTTCTACATTTGGCCAAAATAAATCTCAAGTTATTTCAATGCCCCTGTAGAACATCGTCATAGAGATTACTTGTCTGTATGATTAAAAACACTAATTTATTTCTGCAGTGATAAAATCTTCTCATGTTTACGTTTATAGGTTCAAAGCACAATTCATTGATTGCTTAACTAAGTTGACAATATTTCAATCACTGATTAGTTGTGACTAAGCAGCTTTACTATTCACAAAACACATGTAACTGTTTTGCATTGCTATACAGTCTATTTTTTGGGGGATGTTTTTTGATTGAAGTTCAAAGTTTGTGTTTTGTGCTTTTAGTACAATCTAGAATGAAAATAATTGTGTTTTTAGGAATATCTTGGTAGACAAACCCAATGACCAGTCTTCCCGGTGGTCGTCTGAGAGCAATTACCCGCCACAGGTGAGTTCTTTTAGTCCTCCGGGTGCTTCAGTTTCCCCTAACACTAAAACATGTACAATGGCCTTGTACGCGACCCCGCTTCCATAAATATTAGAGGAATAAGGCTCAAAAACACTAATATAAAAAGTGTGTTGTTTGTAAAAGGCACTATACAAACAAAGATGAATTACTTTCTGGTACTTACTTCTGATAGTATTAAAGTAATTATCCGTCGAAGTTCTTTTTGTTTTCATATAAATTATCTCTAAAGTCTTGTTGTGATTCATTTTGTACAATTTGTCTTTTTCAGTTTTTAATCTTGAAGCTGGAGCGTCCAGCGATCGTTCAGAGTGTTACGTTTGGGAAGTACGAGAAAACACATGTGTGTAATCTAAAGAAGTTCAAAGTTTTTGGAGGCATGAGTGAAGAGAACATGACTGAGCTGTTGTCCAGGTGAGGAGTCTGGGATAACATTTAAGATAATTTAAGATAAGATATATAAGATAAGACATTTAAGATAAGAAAAGATAAACCTTATTATTACAGCACTTTACTACCGGGCATACCGGGCATAATTTTGTGCTCATTACAGAGCTGGACTGGTATCACCAATAGGTATATCTTTTTTTGTGAGAATAAACAGCCACAATTTCACTGTTATTTACGATTATTGACCATAGACGCGTGGACAGAATCATAGTCGACAGAACCACTGACACGCGTTCATCCCCAGCTTGTTGCAAGTGCAGGTCTCCTCCGTGTCTCATACCCAAGCGCAACCATAACTCACAAAAGTACAAACTTTTTGTCTGATCCAAAACTTGCCACGTTCTTCATTAAAAGTTGAAAAACTTGCCTGGGGATAGGCATTTACTGGGGATATTCAGTATAGGGTTGGGCGATATGGGCCTCGGCATGTATCACGATTTTTGTTGGTATGTATCACGATATGACGATATGATAATTTTAACAAGCCTCATATAAAAGCTATAAAAACTTAGCACTGATAATTTTAAACACACTTGCCTCAAAGTGCATTTACTGATTTATTGGCAGCAAAATGTGCAATACAGCTATTGTATATAAAACATATTAACAAAACTGAATTGTCGAGAATTCTGTTTTGTACATACTGAAAATTGCAGGCATCAGGTAATAAAGGTGAACATTTGTAATTTGTAAAATATATAAAAGTTTGTCCTTTGTAATATAAAAAGTGTAGCATTATCAAATAATTATTGGATCACTTTGGCTTATGTTTCCTAATCCCAATATAGTCAAAATGATCAAATACTGTATATATTTTTTGTATCCTTTTGCGTTTCTATAATTATGTAATTATAACTTATTTGTAATTATATTGCAATGTAGACAAACACATGCATTGAAGTAAAATGAATGACAGTAAACAGTAAATAAAGCTTACCAATGGCACTGTGGGAGAGAGAGAGAGAGAGCGAGTGTCCGAAGCAAGCCACTCGAGTCCAGTTGTTTAGGGCAGCTGCTTTCACAACATTAGATCCACTGTCGATAGTTACACACAATTGCTTCTTTTTATCTAGTTACCAAACTACTCCCATATGTTTGAGGTAGCTCCGCGTTTTGGCACAATGTCTTCTACAATCTGCATGTCTTCACCATGGTCTTCACCGCCGCCTTCACCCATGTTTGCTCTCTGCTCTGTTGTTGTTGTCCCTGCACGCCGCTCTGCTACACGTGCCGCGCAGATGCGTCATCAAAGTGCGCCGCACACAAACGTGTCTTGCGCTTGCCGTTTTCAGTGTTAAATGATCGTTTTCACCGGTATAAGGCATTTTCTTATCATTTAATTTACTTATACCGGTATACCGGTAAAAAAAAAATATCGCCCAACCCTAATTCAGTAAATCAATTAATCGCATGATAATTAAAATTAGCTCGATAGTTTTCCTGGCCGCGATGAATTCCATTAGCATGCTTGTTAGTTTTCCCGTCTCTCACTCTCCCGCTCTCTCTCGGGTCAGAGAGCCGCAAAGTGGTCACGCGTGACGTGAGCAGACTGAAATAGCTCAAAAATACAAATTACAGCCAAAACGGGACCTTAACCAGGATTGACAACGGGGGACACAGTAGTTGTTCTCATTCAGGCTCTAGTAGTGACTAAACTAGAGCAGTTAGCTAACTAGCTAGCTAGCGTGTCCGCCGATGCAAAAGTACCGTTTAATAATAAAATAAACTTATGACGCACCTTTGTGAACACATACTGCTGTTATATAAAGTCTCTGGAAGGTCTCAGGACAAAGAGACGCTGCAGAGCTGCATTATTGGCAAGAACTTTACACAAAAAGCCGCTAGCATGATGCTAGCGGTTTTTTACTTCCGCCACTTCTGGCGGTGGTCTTTAAAAATAAAAGTGTATTTCTCCTTGAAAGGGTGTACCTGCATCATTATCATGGTACTAGATGAAAATGATCTCTGAACAACAATACTCTTGCCTATCGCAATAAATTCTGAGACAATTAATCGTCCAGCAAAATTTGTAATTGTGACAGGCCTACCTGGGCATGACTATGTATTGTACGTAATAGTGGTTTAGTGGTTAAGTTGCAGTGCTTGCGCCCCAATGACCTGGGTTCAAATCTGGGTGGGATCTGTGTTTTGGATTAAACTAATATTCTATGACAGATTGCTCAATGAGGGTATAAGGTAAAAACAAACAGTTTTTTGCAGATTAAAATAAAGCCTAGTGTATATTCGCGCAGCGCAGAGCTTACGGCGGTTACGTGACGTCACTTGCGCAACGCAAGGATCACCGCAAGGCCCTTACGTAGCCTGTGTGTGTTTTGCACGGAAGCATGGACCGGCTGCGGGGAACATGGACAAGGTACCTCGGAGCAGATAGCTTCATGCTTCGAAGGAAAAGTAGTTTGGGTTCATGGTTCAGAGCCTAATATACGCGGAGACTGTGGACTGTTCAGTTCTGTTGCATATCCAGCTTATAAACTATATAGTTGCTCCTGCGCCTGTCTTTGTTTGAATTTGCACTTGTGAATTATCGCGTCTGTTGCATTCCTTCTGCACTTGTAAATAGTTCATGTTTGGTCTCAGATATTTACCACTTATTGTTTTGCTGCTTGTGCTGAATAAAATTTAATAACTATGTTTCCAACAAGAACTGCATCTTAAATCACAGCATAACAGTTGAAATGACTTATGAAACAATGAGTCCATAGAACTATCACATAAACACATGTAATGATCTCAAACAGCTTGTTTCGCTGATGTTTTTGTTCTGAAGAGGCGAAAGTAGCAGCGTAAATTGGACCACTTTGGTTTCCCAGGCAACTCCTGTGAGTTCGCCATCATGTGGTTGGTTGTGGGATTACAACATTCTCTTCCAAACTCCGCAAGGGTAACGCGCGAGTGTACCAGCAACTGTGGCTGCGTTGGTCCGGCGCAACCGTGGCCAGCACGGCGCGAGTATACACTAGGCTTTAATGCCTATTCTTTCATTTGGCCCTCGGTGATTATAAAGACTATATGTCACAGACATGGTTATACTAGTTTTATTTTTGAAGGAGCTTTATTGTTCTGAAATGTTTCCGAATTGTTACGCCTGGCTTCTAATTGAAAAGTATCATATCTTTCTAAAAACGTATTGTTCCACCCTTATAGACAACTATACAGATCAAATTATAAAACCATGTTTTAACAGCTGCAGTTGGAATAAAAACACTTGTCATGTTGAGTTGTTAAACTAATAATTTTGAGTGTACTCTCTTTTGTTGCAGCGGCCTTAAGAACGACTACAACAAAGAAACGTTTACTTTGAAGCACAAGATCGATGAGCAGATGTTTCCCTGCAAATTCGTCAAAATAGGTCAGAGCATCAACTTTTACTCTTAAAGGCACATGCAGCTTTTTGGCGCACTGGTTCAGGAAGAGAGTCCTATAGATTTTAAAAGCATTTTAAGTGCTTCTGTCTGCTACAGTGATACTCTCTGACCCCATGGATCATTGTGATATATTAATTACATTTGTGATCTCAATATTGATCTTAAGAGATTCGCTGCACTTCCATGTTCAGTTTACACAACAATTATTTCACTCAAACAATAAATCCAAAACACATTTGGTAAGAATTCCATCCATCCATTTTCTTCCCCTTTGTGCATTTCTGGGTCGGGGGTGGCAATCAGCTGCCACCCAATTCACAGAGCACCAAGCATCCAAGCATAACTATGAAAAAGTACGAAAAAGAATATCTAAACTAGAGCTGCAACTAACAATTATTTTGTAATCGATTAATCTATCGATTATTTTTACGATTAATCGAGTAATCGCTTGGCTGTGAATTGTGTAGAAAAAAATGATTTTTTCATCACAAAAGCTAAAGTGGCAACACTCGAGGACGTATTGATGGCGTAAACTTAAAGTAAATGTTTGTAACAGGCTCTTTGTGCTAATTCTGCTATCTGATTGGATGAGACAGACAGATATTCATGAAATTATAAAAACAAAGTCGGTTTTAATCAAAAATACTACATTTTCATGTCATTGTTGCTCTGTTTGAGTCCGTGTGAACCAGAAAACGATTAATCGATTACTAAAATAGTTGTCGACTATTTCAATAATCGATTAGTTGTCGATTAATCGATTAGTTGTTTCAGCCCTTATCTAAACCCATAATCGATCAAGGTAATAATTTGTGTAATATACCTCCATGTAAAACGTAAATACACAAATACAACCGAATAGAGAACAATTTAAAAAAAGCTACATCTTCCTTCCACCAATAAAACACATTCTCAAGTTGGTGTTCACCTTGTCCAAATGAAAAAACATGTTGACCAATAACAAATGTGTCCTTTACCGCCACCATCTGTTTGAATTGTTAGTCTTAGAATTTGACCTATAAAGGTTCATGCGCCATCTTGAAATACAGTACATTGGTACATAAGGGATAAACGGGATGCGAGAATCTCGTTTTCATTTAACAGGTGCTACTAATAACGTTTCTTCCCCTGACAAGTTTGAAAAAGTCACTTTGTAACAGATAAAATGTGACTATTGCGGGAGTGCCTAAACGTTAACATTTATTGTTTTCCAGAAAGCACAATTAAATAACCCTTTCTGGATTCTTCACAAAAAAAGTCTGTGGAACATAAACTTTATGTTGTACCACGCATAATCGTTGGTCCACTGCAGGTTAAATGCCCTGCATTCTGAATAAATTTTTCTCTTTCCTAATCTTTTCGCCATTATTCTGTTCTCTCTTTGATTTGGATTTTTTCTGGGGGTTGCCAGATAGGGCCACAGACCGCTGAAGGGTGGAACAGAATGTCACGTTGTATGTATGAAGTATGAAGTAGTTACTAACTAATAGTTAACTCATTCCCAGATGTCTGATTTGTATGGGTATTAGCTTTAGAGCATACTTTATCGAGCCAGCAGGTGGCAGCAGCGCTGCCTCTGGATGTTTTGAAAACAGGATGCACTTGTTGCGCCTCTTTTTCTCCGCTTTTTGTCTGAGACTGGTGATTTCAGTAAAATTTCCCTCTACTCGACTGGGGATTACAGGGGAACGAAACAAGCTTGAAACAATTTTTTTTCTGATGAAAGTAGACAGTCCATTCTTTCAGAATTTGGTTTTGGATTTCAGTCATAGTCTTCAATATTCTGTGGGCCTTGAAACATCAATAAAAGTAATCAGAAACTGCTGGCAATATGGGAGTACCTGTTCTGAAATGGGCTGGCATGCAATGAGTTAATGATGAAAATAATTCATAACTAAGGAACATTTTATTGCAAAAGTCCAACTTTATTATCAAATACACAAATATGATAAAAGAAATCTAAACGCTCTCTTCTCTGGTATTGTCCAGGGGGCCGGAGCAAAAGTGGTAGTTTAGGGCCTGTGTGCAGCGTGTGGGTGCCGCTTCAGAACACGGATGGTTTACGTTTTAGTTTGTTGACATTTTAGCGTTACTATGTCAAGTGTATGGAGAGATCAGGTTTAGTTTATCAAACTAAAGGATTCTGTCCTTGGACCCAGTTCGAATGACTGGGTGTTGGGGACCACTGTCAAAGACGACATATTATCCTTCCAAGCTACCGTAATACCAAAGGACTGCAATATATGATCTCAACGATAGATGGGAGTAAAACCTACACACTGTACCTTTTAACATAAACCTTTTCCCATCTATAAAGGCATTATGCAATAAACATTACAAATGTACTAATGGCTAACTAGTGCAGTAGCATCTGCACCAACCATGATTATCTCCAACCAAAAAGGCAAGTCAAACTATGAAGAAATCTGCATCAACAACAGAAAACCCACATAGTTTGATGTCCACTCTGCTTCTGGAATCACAGTGGAGGCAAATTAGCCATGTGGTAGCTACAGTGGGGCAAACAAGTATTTAGTCAGCCACCGATTGTGCAAGTTCTCCCACTTAAAATAATGACAGAGGTCTGTAATGTTCATCATAGGTGCACTTCAACTGTGAGAGACAGAATGTGAAAAAAAAATCCAGGAATTCACATTGTAGGATTTTTAAAGAATTTAGTTGTAAATTATGGTGGAAAATAAGTATTTGGTCACTTCAAACAAGGAAGATCTCTGGCTCTCACAGACCTGTAACTTCTTCTTTAAGAAGCTCTTCTGTTCTCCACTCGTTACCTGTATTAATGACACCTGTTTGAACTCGTTATCTGTATAAAAGACACCTGTCCACAGCCTCAAACAGTCAGACTCCAAACTCCACTATGGCCAAGACCAAAGAGCTGTTGAAGGACACCAGGAAAAGAATTGTAGACCAGACTGGGAAGAGTGAATCTACAATAGGTAAGCAGCTTGGTGTGAACAAATCAACTGTGGGAGCAATTATCAGAAAATGAAAGACATACAAGACCACTGATAATCTCCCTCGATCTGGAGCTCCACGCAAGATCTCATCCCGTGAGGTCAAAATGATCATGAGAACGATGATCAAAATCCCAGAACCACACGGGGGGACCTGGTGAATGACCTGCAGAGAGCTGGGACCACAGTAACAAAGGTTACCATCAGTAACACACTACGACGACAGGGAATCAAATCCTGCAGTGCCAGACGTGTCCCCCTGCTGAGGCCAGTGCATGTCCAGGTCTGTTTGAAGTTTTCCAGAGAGCACATGGATGAAACAGCAGAGGATTGGGACAATGTCATGTGGTCAGATGAAACCAAGGTAGAACTGTTTGGTATAAACTCAACTCGTCGTGTTTGGAGGAAAAAGAATACCGAGTTGCATCCCAAGAACACCATACCTACAGTGAAGCATGGGGGTGGGAACGTCATGCTTTGCAGTTTTGCCACAGACAACTTTTAGCAAGAATGGAAATGGTAAATTGGTCCCTCAACGCAATTGATTCTATCTTTTCAACACGTAAGCGTGGGTCTGGAGAGCCCGAGTGCCCGGACGGGACTTCACCAGCGGGGTATACTCTTGACAGCTGGAACAAGTTTCAGCCCCTCTGTCTGTCGACCCTGTCCATTGAAGATTCGGAAGACGTATATATCTTTGGCTTTTTGGTGGTGGGGATCCTCCTGTTTGGGTTTGGAGCGGTTCTATTCTACCATAAATTCGGAGGCATGGCAGTTCGCAAGATTCACGACCTGCTGGCCGACCAAATTGATGGAATGTACAAGGAGCTTAGCCGAGTCGTGGTTGAGAGCGCTGTGGCTGGACAAAGAAGAGTGGTTTTGGTGGAACAGTTGATCAGAGATCTCGCAGCTCGTTCACTTGATGGGCATAAAACTCTGGAATTGAGATTGAATGACATTGTTTGTCACGCTTGAACTCTCTGACCCGGCTTGGATTGGCCCCTGTGTACGGGGTTTGAGGGCGCCGCAATTCGGTTTAATTGGATTTAATAGAATATCTGCCTGTTTTTGACTGCTAGAATGCATACTAGATTGTCCCTTGTTACAGGAAGATGTGTTTTTCTCCTTGCTGTGTCTTCGCTCCTCTCTTATCTCACATTCCTCGGGCCAAGGCCATCATAATAAATCTGGTCTCTACAAAAATTTCACACTCTTTCAGTCTTCCAGCTAGGGATGTAAATCGGTGACCGTTTAACCGGTGGTTGACCGTCACAGCGTTAACCGGTCAAAGCTGTCGGTTAAAAATAAGAAAAAGCGGAGAGGGGAGGTCTCTTAATAAGGCTATTAATAAGCCCTATTTGTACGATGTGACGAGCGGGTCCGTATCTAGCTGTGTGCGCCAATGCATTAGTAGACTACGGGCGACTTTCATGGCGCACGCTCCACATATGCACGCAGCCACGCACACGCACGCGCGCGCACACACACACACACACACAAACACTTTCCCCCCCTCCATACGTAACATCCACACGCATCATCTCTCCCCTCTGTTACCGCCAAAGTTCCACACTAGTGCAGGTCAGAACTACATTGGAGCTTATATTTACACACACACACATACATGTATTGTACACACACACACATACACACATACATACACACAGACATACACACATGTATTGTACACACACACATACCGGTCTGTCGCGCTCCTCTGTGTCTCGCAGCCCAAAGAATCCTCGCAAATACACGGCCCCAGTCAAACACATGAAACATGTTTGTGCTGCTGGTCCTTGTCATTAGATCAGATCCACACACATCACTTTTAAACTTTAGCGGAGACCTGCGAGACGCGGGGTGTAACTCGCTGCTCTGACCATGTGAACAAGCCGTCTTTTGCTTAAAAATGCTTTAAGCCGCAGCACAGTATGGGAAGATTAAAAAAGCAGTTCTCTGTGCGCAAAGGTGCCGAAGCTGTTGCGGGTTTTGGCGCTGCTGTCTCAGCTCTGATCTAGTAGAACGCATAGATAAACTTATGAAAAGTACGCGGCTCGAAATGGCTGCTATTTCAAAGAACGTGGAATATTTTAAACTACGCGGTTAACCGGTTTCAACCGGTTAATGAGGCTCGGTGGTCGGTCATGAAAATGCATAGTTTTTTACATCCCTACTTCCAGCTTGGATCCCGCTCCCCCCGCCTCCCTCTGATCTCTCCCTCCCCTCCCCTCCTCACTGTGTTTCCGACTCACCCCCTCCCTGACCCCGCCCCCCTCTGACAGCCACATTGGACCGGCAGCCAGAGGTGCTCATCCCGAGAAAAAAATCCGTGGTTTATAAAAAGCACAATGTTTTCTATCCAACTGTCTGTTGTAACCTGTATGTTATTGCTCTCTGCTGTTTATTCTACTGTTTGTCGCATGGCGCCGGAAAAATGGCGCCGTGGCAAGAGCTCTGGTGTGGGTCGTCTCTGTCTGGCGCACACCGGGATAGTCTTGCACAGTTTTTCCAATGTGGTTTTACTGCAAATGGCAAATAAATGAATCTGAATCTGAATTGGGGCTGTTTTTCTGCTTACGGGAAAGGACAACTGATCCGTGTTAAGGAAAGAATGAGTGGGGCCATGTATTGTGAGATTTTGAGCCAAAACTTCCTTCCATCAGTGAGAGCTTTGAAGATGAAACGTGGCTGGGTCTTCCAGCATGACAATGATCCCAAACACACCGCCCGGGCAACGAAGGAGTGGCTCCGTAAGAAGCATTTGAAAGTCCTGGAGTGGCCTAGCCAGTCTCCAGACCTCAACCCCATTGAAAATCTGTGTTGCTCGGCGACAGCCCCAAAACAATCACTGTTCTCGAGAAGATCTGCATGGAGGAATGGGCCAAAATAACCGCTACTATGTGTGCAAACCTGGTAAAGACCTATAGTAATCGTTTGTCCTCTGTTATTGCCAACAAAGGTTATATTACAAAGTATTGAGTTGACCAAATACTTATTTTCCACAATAATTTACAAATATATTCTTTAAAAATCCTTCAATGTGAATTCCTTGATGTTTTTTTTTATTTATTTTTTTCACATTCTGTCTCTCACAGTTGAAGTGTACTTATGATTAAAATTACTGACCTCTGTCATAATTTTAAGTGGGAGAACTTGCACAATCGGTGGCAGACTAAATACTTGTTTGCCCCACTGTATTACCCACATTGTTACTCTTTTCAGCCCCAAAAGCACAGTTACAGTTAAGGTTTAGAAAGAGATTAACAATACAAAATTCTTGTTGTACTTCGCAGCTCCCTATGTGAGTTAGAGTTTTAAATCATAAACATATGATGACGTATGACTAATGATAAACACATTTTGTATTCAAATTTTTCGCTTTGATGAAAATTTGTCACTATTTTTATTAGAAAAATTTTAGTTTTAGAGCCTACGGTCCAGTTAAGGATTTTGATCAGAATCAGAATATTTTTTTTAATTTCCATTGTCCCCCCACCTTGACTTCAACGGGAGTCTGGGGAGGTGATGGGCGAGTCAATGATGATCCGATTACAATAAACGTAAGTGTGACCAATCGTACCATGTTCGTATATTTGTTTGTCCAGTGCCTCTGATGTCGTGGGGTCCCAGTTTTAACTTCAGCATCTGGTTCATTGAGCTTCACGGCATCGAGGAGCCGGATGTGGTGCAGCCATGTCTCAACTGGTACAGCAAGGTAACTGCACTGACCCAACACATCCACTGCAGGCCATCACACACTGCGGAACCGTGTTGTTTAAACCCGTGTCGGGTTATCACCTCAGAAGACCAGGTGGTGTATATAATCATTATATAATTTGATTTATTGATTTATCAGGAAAATTGACTACATTACGCGTAAAACAAAGATGCTTTTACCAAGGACCTGGCTGTTGTACATATGTATTTATTTTATTTTATTTGATTAGTCATACTTATGGATATATGATAATATCTGCACCCCTCTCTGTGTGGAGTGGGAGACAAATGCCCACTATTGTATAGCGCTTTGTGACTATGGTCTGTGAAAGGCGCTATATAGCTGAAGATTACTTGCCTGTAAGTTAGGGGTGGGCGATATGGCCTAAAATTCATATTGCGGTATAATTTGGGACACAGACGGTAGACGGTATATATTGCGGTATAATTTGGTGTGTGAATGTCAATATAGGTCTAGCAGGTTCTTGCATAAAATAGTCAAGATTGTTACTTATTTATATATTAGAATCTAATATATATATTTTTTGAGATAGAAAATCAGTTGTGAGACGAATAAAGAGACAAATGTTGTAACATACATTATTTATGTATGTTACAGTAAATACCATTCACTGTAAAAGCAATTTTTAAAAAGAAAAACATATGCATTCATTTAAAATATAAAAAACTCACAAATGTTGAAATCAAAGTCTGTAGGAGTTAGATATGGTCATTATTTATAGTGTCTGAGAGTTTTGTGCAGGTACATGACTTCAGTAAAAGCTATTGTTCGTTTACAAAGCTGGTCTTGCCATTTGTTGACGCTCCCTAAGCGCTTTTCTCTGCGCTTGCAGTGAACTGGATGATTCAATGAATTTATGTTCATTAAGCGCATTGGATTTGAACAATTGATGTAAATGATCATTTTGGCACAATTAATTTTGTTTAACAAAGTAGCTTTCGTGAGATATTGACCGCGGAGGTCCGAATCTGACGCTAACTTTCCCAAACTTCTGCTGTAATGCTGCGGACACGGCACACGCATGGATCTATTTTGGCTCACGCTGGCGCTTCGAGCCTACGCCCCTTTGACACTGATTGGCCAAAAGGTAGACGCTAAAACTGTGATTACTGTGTGTGTATTTACTTCTGCTGGGGCCGCTGTGACAACAATGCATAGACAGAAACACGGTGTTAATGCCGTGCTGTTGTTCGTTGTTTCCAGTGGTGTCTGCTAGGCTAATGCTGCTAGGCTAATGCTGCTAGGCTAATGCTGCTGAATGCCGGTTTGTTTTGGTCCTTTCTGCTAGCGTCAGAGCCTGCGCAATTTGATGACATAATGACCTATTGCAATATGCCGGTATAACAAAAATCTCTACCGTGGGCCAAATTTATATCGCATACCGCTTATACCGTTTATATCGCCCAGCCCTACTGTAAGTAAGTATTACTAGCGTATAGCTGTCCCACCAATGGGCACAGTGGGTGCCTGCGGTAAATTCTAAATTCACTTGGGCTACCCAGAAAAATGTCTCATAAAACTAAATGTGAACTAAACAGCTCAACCTCAGCATGCACGTGCATGAGAGCCACACTTGTGTATTTGGCGCAAAGCATTGTGGGAACTCGTCAACTCTGCAGAACCAGGAGTACCAGACGATGCCCAAATATGGGAAAGCACCGCTAGTCTTTGTCCCATGCTCTACTTAGCAGAAGCCATTGTTTTGAATTGGTCGCCATCTTGGATCCCCGGGGCTTTGTCATACTACATCAATTCTGACATGAACAAAGCATCTTAGAAATTTCAACGAACAGTTCATAGGCCTGAATATGTGCAGGGGGAATCTACAGAAATGGCAGACAATGAGAACAGTGTTTACATGTCAACGGATGCTAAAGCCAGGGCTGTAATCAACAATTATTTTTATGATTGATTAGTTGGCCAATTGTTTTTTTTTATTCATCTTTTTTTCTTTTCTTTTTTTTACATTTGACCAAAACTATTCTATAGGTCATGACTTGTTACACATTGGGTTGTTTGATTAAATATACTTAAACACATTATCATTTCATTCAGCAGTCATTCTAGCAGGGCTGCTCTGTGCACCTTTTTAGTAAACTTTTAACAACTTTTTAGCGCGTTTTTATTGTTCAGTTTTTTAATATATCTGAGTGTTTTATCTTTTTAATTCAGTGGTTTCAGCAAATAGCACTTAGTCCCGACTGAAACCCACTAGTAGCACAGAGGCTAACACAAGCTAACGAGGACATGGAAAGTGACAATGAAATTGGCTCAAACATGCACAATATTAGTCGCCTCACCTTGGAGCTCCGTGAGAGCGACCGTGCCACCATTGCAGATCTACGAAAAGAAGTCCTTCGTCTCACCGCAGAGTTGAATGAGAAACAATCTCTAGTATCCAAACTTTTTGAAGTCGCTGGTGGGCAGCATTCACGGCTGATGTCACTGAGCGCTGCATATTGTGACACTGTCGTGTGGGAGAGATCCGTCAGCTCCGGACCCTCCTGTTCTACACCTAAGCGCCCGCTTACGAATAACGAGCCCGCGGATTCCGAGGAGCCATCCTGCGCCGTGGCCCATGTCCTGAGTCTGGCAAACCGCTATGCAGCCCTCTCCACTGACATCCCGGCCCCCTCAGCAGAACCTCTGGACACTGCAGCAAACTCTACTGCTCGAGGATCCAAGTCCACTGCGAGGAAAACGCTCCTAAAGGAAGCAGTCCTCAGGCGAAAGAGCGGTCCACCGGCCATGTTGACCCCAGTGCAGCAGCCTCAGACTGGGGTAGCGAGCCATCATTACCACCGCTCACCTCCACCGGGTCAGCAGCAGCGCCCAGAGCCAGCCCCTCTCACCGCTCCAGCGTCCCCGAGCACACAGCGTGGGTCGCCTGTAGCTGAGAGTCAGCACCCCCCGCTCCTCCTCTCCATGTGTTCAGCGGCGCTCAGGCTCGGGTCCTGCTTCGGGTGAACCCGCTGGTTCCGTCCACCGAGCTCCTTCTCCGAGGCCACTCTTCGCCCCGACCACTCTGATTATTGGAGATTCCATCGTGAGACACGTCCGCTTCTTTAACGCGGTCACTCGCTGTATTCCCGGAGCTACTGTACCAGACCTGCTCATACGTCTCCCTCCTCTGCTTCAGTCCCTGCCTGATACCGTTTCCAAGGTAGTCGTGCATGTGGGAATTAACGACATGAAACTTCAGCAGTCAGAAGTCACTAAGAAACATTTTATGGATCTGTTCCACCTCCTTCAATCCTCCGGATTATCTGTTTTTATTTCTGGTCCAATCCAGACTGTAAACAGAGGTGACTGCCTCTACAGTCGTGTTGTGGCGCTGCATGTGTGGCTTCAGGCTACATGCAGCTCTTTTAACTTTGTCTTTGTGAATAACCTTGCCCTTTTCTGGAAACGTTACGAAGCCTATCGTCCAGACGGATTACACCCAAACAGATACGGTAGCAGCCTGTTGATGGATTACATACGTTATGTTGTTCAGTGCTCCCCGAGGGGGGCGTGACTGTTTACATCTGAGCCCCCTCGGACCCCACCGCACTCCCCCGCCTCCTGCTCACCAGCACCGGGTGAGTACAACGGTGCAAACACTGCTCCCTGTCCGTCTGGCAGTGCATTACCAGTCCAAACACTGAACTGTGCTGACTCCCTTCTGACTCTGGGAGCTAAAGAACAACAAGGGTTTTCACATTTTAGGCCAATTGAGACTGTGTGTGTTCCTCGCACCAGCTCAAAAATGTTTTTAAATTCTAAAAAACGAAATCAAAACAGGACAGCAGTTAGACGGTCCAACTCTGCAAATCTAATTTCTGTTCCCTGTAGAAATCAATCAACCACATTAATCGACTCTGACGTTATTTTTAAACTTGCTATGCTTAATGTCAGATCTCTATGTAACAAATCATTTTTAATTAATAATTTTATCACTTCTTATGATCTTGATTTTATGCTTATGGCTGAAACATGGCTGGACCAAAATACAGGAAATGCAGTTCTAATAGAAGCAACACCACCCAATTTTAAATTCGAATCCGAAATACGAGAAAACAAAAGGGGGGGAGGCATAGCTGCAGTTTTTAGAGAGCACTTTGTCTCCCATAGAATGCCCCTTGGAAATTTTTCATCGTTTGAGTATATTTCTTTTAAAATGGAACAAAAGCAATCTTCTACTCTTTTCATTGTCCTGTACAGGCCACCACAGTCATGTTGCGATTTTATTGACCATTTTACTGAACTACTTTCATTCGTGTGCACAGATTTTGATAGTTTAGTTATTACAGGTGATTTTAATGTACATGTTGATAATGTTGATGACAGAAATGCAAAGGAGCTGGCTTCTGTATTTGAGACCTTTGGTTTCATTCAGCACGTGAGTGGCCCCACCCACAGCAGGGGGCACACTCTTGACCTGCTAATTACAAAGGGGGTTAATGTATCAAATGTTAATGTAGTTGATGTTGCTTTGTCAGATCATTTCTGTGTATTTTTTGACATGTGTTTTGCTAGCAAACCACCAGCTGAATTTACAACTGTTAGAAGAAGACACATACATGAAAACACAAGTGAACTGTTCATGGGAATGCTAAATTTTGAGAAAACTCCATGCTCTACTGTTGATGAATTGTATAACTCTGTCACCACCAGTGTTCTGACTGTTCTGGACGCCATTGCTCCTGTGACGGTTAAAATAGTTACCAGTAAGAAAAAGGCCCCATGGACTAAGGCAGACTCGGTTAGGGCACAGAAGCAAGAGTGCCGGAGGGCCGAACGGAAGTGGCGAAAGTCCAATTTCCAGGGCGATTATGAAATCTTTAAAGATGAGTTGGGTGAATTTAACCGGGTTCTACGTAGAACAAGAGAAATGTATTTTTCTGACATTATTGGAGGTTGCAGTAACAATTTTCGTGTTATGTTTTCAACAGTTGGTAGATTAACGAACCCCCCTGTAAAGTTGCCCCTAGAATTTTCCTCTAAATCTAGGTGTAATGAGTTCGCACAGTTTTTCGATGACAAAGTACAAGGAATCAAAAACACTATCACCTCCACAGCACGTATAACAATGCAACAGCCAGAGAAGCTTTCTGAGCTAACTCACTTTGCACCTGTGGATACTGAAACTGTCAAAAAGATAATCATGAGTCTGAGCTCCTCCACATGTAGCCTGGATATATTGCCCTCTAAATTTCTGAAGTCCGTCCTGAGCAGTTTGTTACCTTCACTGACACAAATAGTAAACATGTCTCTGTCGTCAGGAACATTTCCTATGGCCCTAAAAACAGCAGTCATAAGACCTCTCCTAAAAAAGAGCAGTCTGGATCCTGCGGGACTTCAAAATTATCGCCCCATATCGAATCTGCCATTTATTGGAAAAATTCTTGAAAAAGTGGCCTCCCAACAACTTACTGAATTTTTAACAATGAATAATTCTTTTGATATGTTCCAGTCTGGGTTTAGACCCCACCACAGCACTGAGACCGCTCTAGTGAAGGTAACAAACGACATTCGACTTCACACTGATGCAGGTAAAGTCACAGTTTTGGTCATGTTAGATCTTAGTGCCGCGTTCGACACTGTCGACCATGAGATCCTCATGCAGAGACTGGAGGACTGGGCTGGTGTCACTGGCACAGCCCTAGACTGGTTTAGGTCTTACCTGGAGGATAGGAAGTACTCTGTGGAGATTGGAGACTGCGTCTCAGATGATGTGGCCCTGACCTGTGGTGTACCACAGGGGTCGATCCTGGGACCTCTCCTATTTAATCTCTACATGCTGCCGTTAGGTCAGTTAATACAAAGAAACAAAGTGTCCTACCACAATTACGCTGACGACACTCAGATCTATGTCTCACTGACTGCAGGAGAACATGGACCACTGGATTTGCTCCTTCACTGTATCCAACAGATCAGTGACTGGATGCAAAATAATTTCCTCCAGCTAAATACAGACAAAACCGAAATCATTGTCTTTGGTCCCCAGAAACAAAGAGAGGGCGTCATTTGTCAACTTCAGTCTCTCTCCCTACTTCCTTCAGACAAGGTCAGAAATTTGGGGGTAATACTGGACTCAGACCTAAATTTCAATAGCCACATAAAATCAATAACATCAACAGCTTTTTACCATCTGAAGAACATTGCCAAAGTTAGAAATATAGTGTCCAGGGCAGACTTGGAGATTCTTGTCCATGCATTTGTCTCCAGCAGGCTAGACTACTGCAATGGCCTGCTTACAGGTCTGTCCAAACAGACCTGTAAGCAGCTGCAGTACATCCAAAATGCAGCAGCTAGAGTCCTGACAGGAACCAGGAAGTATGACCATATTAGTCCGGTCCTCAGGTCTTTGCACTGGCTTCCTGTGGCTCAAAGAATAGATTTTAAAACGGCTCTGCTTGTGTACAAGTCTCTCCATGGCCTTGCACCAGAATACATTAGTGACATGTTGGTGTCATATGAACCAGCCCGGACTCTGAGGAGCACAGGGACTGGCCTCCTGCTGGTGCCCAGAGTGAGAACCAAACATGGGGAGGCTGCGTTTCAGATCCATGCAGCTAAGATCTGGAACAATCTCCCTGAAAATGTGAGGGAGGCGTCTACTCTGTCAATGTTCAAATCCAGGTTAAAGACTGTTCTGTTTGCCTGTGCATACAACTGAAGGATTTTATCTCCATTTTTAATGCACTGCTGTCATTTATTTATTTTTTTAAATTTCTTGTGTAATTTTGAAAGTTTTAATGGTTTTATTCTTTTGTGTGATTTTAATGTTTTAATTGTGTTTTAATCTTTTGTGTGATTTTAATGTTTTAATTGTGATTCTGGTGTTTGTTTTATGTGATGATTTGTGATGTGGACTGTGAAGCGCTTTGTGTTGCCATGTGTATGAAAGGCGCTCTACAAATAAACTTTGATTGATTGATTGATTCTAGAACAGGTGTGGGCAACTATTTTTCCCAGGGGGGCCGGGAAAACCTTAAAAAGCATGTATCGAATGTGTCTCTTTTCTCTCTGTGCAGTACAGGGAGCAGGAGGCCATCCGGCTGTGCCTCAAACACTTCCGGCAGCACAACTACACCGAGGCATTTGAGTCTCTGCAGAAGAAGACCCGGATCGCCCTGGAGCATCCCATGCTCACCCACCTGCATGAGAGGCTGGTGCTGCAGGGAGACTTCGACGCCTGCGAAGAGCTGATCCACAAAGCTGTTAAAGGTGAGACACATTTTTAACTTGATTTTTTTTTACTTACAGATACAAACTAAAAGCATAAATTATTTAGAATTGGGTTGTACAACAATATAGAACTCACTATGTTAAAAAATCCTTGACAGTAGTTCCTGGCTCTGGTTCAGATCAATCTTCAGATCAGCTTTTTTCAAACAGTAGAGTGAAGAGTCATAACTACGTTGTCCGCCCGAGCTCTTGATGAGTTTTTATTTCCCAATCCCACACTAGCTGAACACATATATTTAAGATAATTTTTTCTTTCAAAAAGAAAAAAAAATTGATGTGAAATGTTGAATTGACATAAAAAGATACATTTACTTCAATAAATTGGAACTCAAAGCCTAGACTAACTAAATTTTGCTGCACTGTGCTCTTTCCATCATATAGCCGTGGGTTTAGTGGGCATTTTAGCCTCTTAGCACCCACTGGCCTGCCCGCGGGCCGTTTTTAGTTTCATTTTAAAGCTACACTATATCAGACTTTGCATTTAATAGATATAACATATAATATGGGCACAAAATGAATAACTGTTGAATATTTTTTTTTATCTTTTGTCTTGTGCGTGTGATCTGGAGAATTGCGTTCGACCGTGTTCCCCGGGGTGTCATTTGGGGGGTTCTCCGGGAGTACAGGGCCTGGGGTCCTCTGCTGAGGGTCGTCCGGTCCCTGTATGACCGGAGCCAGAGCTGCGTTCGCATTGCCGGCAATAAGTCAGACCTGTTCCCGGTGCATGTTGGCCTCCGCCAAGGCTGCCCTTCGTCACCGGCTCTGTTCACTGTCTTTATGGACAGAATTTCTTGGCGCAGCCAGGGGCCGGAGGGGGGCCGGTTCGGAGACCACAGGATTTTGTCTCTGCTGTTTGCGGACGATGTTGTCCTGTTGGCTCCAACGAACCAGGACCGGCAACATGCACTGGGGCACATTAGTAGGGCTGCAAGTTTTTTTCTCTCGGATTGTCCGTAGCCGTTTAGTGGGCACTACAAATGTGTATCATATGCAGGGCTAAGAGCTGATTGGCTGGGTGAGGTGGTCCTCTCTTCTTCACTTTTCTGTCTGAAGATGTGATAGAGCCCAAAAATACATGCATGTGAAAAGTACCGCTAGCAATAGAACAAACCTATTTTGAGAGCGAGGAATTGGAGCTCTACTTAAAGCTGGGGTACCCTACTTTCAAACGAAAAAAGGAATAATTCCATCTATGAGCAATCAAGAATTGTGTTTTTTAACCGTTTTGTTGTTGCTTTCTAGTCTTGAACTTTTATCTTTATCTTTCATGTTTCCCCTGTGTGCTGTATGCAGACGGCCTGTTTAACCAGTACATCAGTCAGCAGGAGTACAAGCCACGCTGGAGCCAAATCATCCCCAAGTGCAACAAAAGTCCAAGTAGTCAAGAGCCGCCACGAGAGGATCCTAATAGTGAGCCCTGCACTCAGCCTGCTTTCAAACATTAGATTGTACTTACTGGAGAATGTTATTGTTATAGAAAATCCTATTTTGTAAGATTTTATCTATGTTACAACATTGTTCCAATATCATAATACCTCTCACAAGACATTCCTCAACCCCTTCTATGTGCTCTTTTTTTTTTTTTTACTCATGACACTATGACAAAGCCTCAGACAATGATGTTTTCAAACCAAAGTATTGCCTCAATAGTTTTTGGGAAATACCTCAGTTTGTCATTTTCTAATGTTTGTCAGTTTACTTTTCCTTTTCGAAACGTTTCTGTTACAAGTTCAGTGTAGTTATAATGGTCATTCACTTATTTCCCCTCACTACCTCTTCCTGCGTATGATTTCAGGTGATAATGACGACAACCGGCCTGGGATGAGAGGAGGGCATCAGATGGTTATTGACGTACAAACAGGTGTGGGTTAAATGTTAATATTATTGGCACTCAATCTCCCTTCCCACTTTTTTTTTTCAATCTGTAAAGACAGACACAATTACATTTTGAACTTGATAAAAGTGATAAAAAGACCATCACAGAGCAAATGGACAGGCTGCTACATGCACATCGATGCTCTTAACTAAAGTGTATACACAGACATGAAAGGTCAATTTAGAAGGTGCTTTTACTCATGCAGGATTAAGCATGGTGTACTCCTATAACTTTTGAGCTGGATCTATTCTTCAAGCCATGAGTTTGTTCGCACATTCAGGGGTGTGCATTTAAGGTTGCATGTGATTGGTCAAAGTAAAAACAAACTTTTCCATGAAAGAATTACATGATTTTCAAACAAGTTTGGACTAGTTGTGATATGAATATCACTTTCCATTATCATGATGACAATACTATTTTGATATATTGTGCAACCCTAAATAGCAGTGTTGGGTAAGTAAAAAATGTAATTAGCAGTGGCGGGCCGGCCTTTCAGACCTGCGCCTGCAGGGATGTCTTAACCCAGCGATCTCCAACTTTTTTAGTGCCACAGAGCCCCCCTCTCCAGCAGTGTGCCTCCTGTGTTAACGACGGGAGGCACATCGCTGTAGTTTGTAAACACCTGGCTCTCCTGGTCCCTCTGTCTCTGTTTTTCTTGAGAAAGGAATTCTATCTATCAGAATGATAAATTCACCTCCTTCAGCCGTAGAGGGTTGAAAAATTAAAACGTATTGCCATTTTTGTTTGTTTCTGTTTATCACATTAACGTGTCTGCATTGACGTCCCTTTATATCGTGTATCCAATCAAAAGACGTGCAGGCTCTGACGCTACAGGAAGGAAACTTGACACTTGGTTAATGTCACAGGTTCGTTTTCATTGACTTTAAGCTACCGTTGGTCAGCAATGTAGAGTCTAGAGGATTTTGGGCCATAACAATGACTGGATAAAAACTGTTAGACGCCAGACCTCCCAAATGTCGACCTGGATTTGGAAGCTGCGTAACCAACGTAGCTTGTGGAAAAATGAACATAGAAATAATAATAATAAGAACAATTAAGATATATATATATATATATATATATATATATATATATATAAGTAATATATATATATATATATAAGTAATATATATATATATAATAAGTAATATATATATATATATATAAGTAATAATATATATATATATATATATATATAACAGTGCCTTGCGAAAGTATTCGGCCCCCTTGAACCTTTCAACATTTCGCCACATTTCAGGCTTTAACCCTTGTATTATGTTGAAAAAAAATGGCATTGTTTATGTTGCGGGTCATTTTGACCCGTACTGTGTAAATGCACTCAAAACAGTCAAGAAAACAGGTTAAACCAATAACAACTTTATATTAGGTTATTTAAATATTTAGAAAAGTGACATACAATGCATTTTTAATTCCAACACTATATTTAAGAAATATTTAGCCTAATCTTCTTGTCCTCCTCTCGGGTCAAAATGACAATTCTTCCCTCCTTCTTTCCTCCTGCCATGCTTTCTCCTTTAGTCTTCTCATCCTGTTTTCCTTCTCTGTTCATCCTCCTCTATTTCCTTCTTTTCTCTTCCTTCCTTCCTTTCTCCATTCTTTCCTTTCTACCTTACTTCATTCCTCCCATCCTCCTTCCTTGACCAAAGATTCGTCCTCTGAATCTTCCTTATTGTAGGAAAATTGACAATCTGGATCAGCAATAACATTGTCCTCTGTCTCTGAAATTTCCTCTGTTTCTGAAATTTCTTCCTCTACATCATTATCACAGTTAAAAATCTGTGAAAAAACCTCCTCAGATGTCATCCTTCTGGAGCTCATTTTTGGTGAGTTTGTCTAAAGCCTAGCGCACATCGACAGAGAAACTGGAGACAACAGTTTCAAGGCGGCTTTTGGCAACTGAGAGAAGATGATGGAGATGATCAGTTGAAATCAGTCGATGTGAGCGCTCTTACAACTGGAGATAAACAGTCGGTCTCCGGATTCAGTCAGTTGCCCGTGTTCTACTTTTCGGCAACTAGTTGTCCTCAGATCCGGAGATATCACCCGATGTGTGCGCTCCAACAACATGTGTATTGCGTGTATTGCGCCCTCTACAGTTTATGTCAGAAAACACACTGTAGTTGAGGCCAGTTGCTGTCGATGTACGCGCTGTTATTCCCGAGACTGGCCTGCTACTGGGAGTTGCCTGTTTTCGCCAGATTGTCGATGTGTGCGGGGCAGCAACTCAAAGGCGACGGATAAATTCAGTTGCCAGTCCGATGTACGCTAGGCAAAAGAGATGACAGTGACAAGGGCAAGTGTGAGAAAGTTCCCTCTCTTCACACACCTGGCTCTGGGTCTGAGGCAATCAAAATACAATGTCAAAAGACATGTTTTTTTGGATCTGAACAACTATTTACCCACATTAAAGCGTCTGGGTGAAAATGACCCGCAACATCATCTTTGTATACAAACTCTGCACAGACATTCCACTACACATCAAAGTGTCCAAATTTTACACACCAGTTCATGACCCTAGATGAGGAAAAGTCACCAAATTTCAGCAAGAAAAAGAAAGGATAACAAGTACTTTGATCAACACAAAAACTGAAATGGGTCAAATTGACCCTTAACATAATACAAGGGTTAAACATAAAGATATAAAAAAAATTTTTTTTGTCAAAATCAACAACAAGTGGGACACAATCGTGAAGTGGAACGAAATGTATTGGATAATTTACACATTTTTAACAAATAAAACACTGAAAAGTGGGGCGTGCAATATTATTCGGCCCCCTTGCGCTAATACTTTGTAGCGCCACCTTTTGCTGCAACTACAGCTGCAAGTTGCTTGGGGTATCAGTTTTGCACATCGAGAGACTGGAATTCTTGCCCATTCTTCCTTGCAAAACAGCTCGAGCTCAGTGAGGTTGGATGGAGAGCGTTTGTGAACAGCAGTCTTCAGCTCTTTCCACAGATTCTCGATTGGATTCAGGTCTGGACTTTGACTTGGCCATTCTAACACCTGGATAAGTCTATTTGTGAACCATTCCATTGTAGATTTGGCTTTATGTTTTGGATCATTGTCCTGTTGGAAGATAAATATCTGTCCCAGTCTCAGGTCTTTTGCAGACTCCAACAGGTTTTCTTCCAGAATGGTCCTGTATTTGGCTCCATCCATCTTCCCATCAATTTTAGCCATCTTCCCTGTCCCTGCTGAAGAAAAGCAGGCCCAAACCATGATGCTGCCACCACCATGTTTAACAGTGGGGATGGTGTGTTCAGGGTGATGAGCTGTGTTGCTTTTACGCCAAACATATCGTTTTGCATTGTGGCCAAAAAGTTCGATTTTGGTTTCATCTGACCAGAGCACCTTCTTCCACATGTTTGGTGTGTCTCCCAGGTGGCTTGTGGCAAACTTTAAACAAGACTTTTTATGGATATATATGAGAAATGGCCACTCTTCCATAAAGGCCAGATTTGTGCAGTGCACGACTGATTGTTGTCCTATGGACAGACTCTCCCACCTGAGCTGTAGTTATCTGCAGTTCATCCAGAGTGATCATGGGCCTCTTGGCTGCATCTCTGATCAGTCTTCTCCTTGTTTGAGATGAAAGTTTGGAGGGACGGCCGGGTCTTGGTAGATTTGCAGTGGTCTGATACTCCTTCCATTTCAATATAATTGCTTGCACAGTGCTCCTTGAGATGTTTAAAGCTTGGGAAATCTTTTTGTATCCAAATCCGGCTTTAAACTTCTCCACAACAGTATCTCGGACCTGCCTGGTGTGTTCCTTTGTCTTCATGGTTCTCTCTGCGCTTTAAACAGAACCCTGAGACTATCAAAGAGCAGGTGCATTTATACTGAGACTTGATTACACACAGGTGCATTCTATTTATCATCATCAGTCATTTAGGACAACATTGGATCATTCAAAGATCCTCACTGAACTTCTGGAGTGAGTTTGCTGCACTGAAAGTAAAGGGGCAGAATAATATTGCACGCCCCACTTTTCAGGTTTTTATTTGTTAAAAAAGTTTGAAATATCCAATAAATTTCGTTCCACTTCGCGATTGTGTCCCACTTGTTGTTGATTCATGACAAAAAATTAAAATTTAATATCTTTATGTTTGAAGCCTGAACTGTGGCGAAATGTTGAAAGGTTCAAGGGGGCCGAATACTGTGTGTGTATATATATATATATATATATATATATATATATATATATATATATAATATCAATGTGTGTATGCATATATGTTTAGGTCAGCAGTAAAGACCTTGAAAATCCGCCACTGGTAATTATTAACCAGTTAATTAGTAAAATGGCAAAACATTAACTTGAAAATAAATTACTATAGTTGCCAGGACAATTCTGTTGTAACAGTTTACAAAGGTTTTTCTGTCCTTGTTTTGTCCAATCCATCTGCAGTTTTATTCTGCTTAAAATGTTTCTTAAAGACTGCGTAATGGAAGCATCTCATATGCTGCTTTAAGTGTATTGATTTCAAACTTTGAGGTTTGACCTGAGAGCGTCTTTCAAGTCCAGGTGCTTTTACTGTTGGTGTTGTACAGTCGAAGGCAGCGGCTTTGCTGAGACACACAGCAATTAGCTTAAAACACTGCAAGTGTTTTAAAAGGTTTGAGTTGGAGTTTGCTGCGGTGGACAATCTCTTGCTGCCCGCACAAAACTTGCACTCCACGACACTGTTTTTATCTTTTCGACTGATGTATCATTTCAAATAGTGTGCATATTTCCACCTGAAACTAATCCCTCTCCTCTGGCTCTGCCTTGTTGCTTTACAAACAATCTGACTCGTGCTCAACGTGATGTAAGCGGTAGTGCAGTTTCAGGCCAGTGCCGTGTAATTTAATTACACGTATTATATACAGTAATTGTTACACTACTACGTTATTCAAATTTTAATGTTACAGTAACGCGTTACACCCAACAGTGCTAGATAGTAGCATATTACCAGTATGTTAAAGCAATGGCATGCTCAACAATATGGTTTATCAAGATATTTCTAGGCAATTAAGGTTTTTCAATCATCTTGGTTTAATGTTCACTTTCTATCCCCTACAGCTAGGGGGCTCTAGCGCTCTTTGTATAGGCACATGTCTATGTGGACGTGAGAGGGCGGATTGCAGATTGAACGTGCAAATGGTTGTAATGAAATAAATGCAGATAACTACAAGTGGATTTTTTTTTTAATTAAACATCCAGTTTGGGTCAAGCAATTACAATTAGACTAGGAATGATATACACACATATAAAGTTTGTAATCTGCTGCAGAGACTGTTTATCTTTTCGGGGGCTGGGACGGCACTCAGGACCTGGCCGACTTCTGGGCCTACAGTGTCTCGGAGAACCAGTGGACCTGCATCTCCAGAGACACCGAGAAGGAGGTTAGAAACCTTACACAAGCATTCAGTGCATACATCTTCGTTATTTAGGGTTCAACATTTGTTGACCCAGCAATGAGTGAGTAGGAGAGATATGAGAAATTTACCACACTCTGGCGGAGCAAACTAAGGACTTCTTAAAGCTGGTGTGCCTAACTTTCAAACCACAAAAGAATGTTCAAAATGGTTCCACCACTTCATCACATGCATTTTTTTTCTGCACAAAAATTAAAAGTAGACATAACACCCACCATTCAATAAATAAGTGGTCTATTTTGTATTGAACATGAAATATGAAGTAGACCAGGATGACTAATAAGCAAGATATATTGTCTCCACAAAGAAGTGTTCACATTTGTGAACAGTATCTTAAAGAGATGAGACTAGTATGTATGTATTGATATGTTTTCCAGCCTTAAGTGGAACCCATTAAAGATGGGAGAAAAAACTAAATATTGTTGTTTATATTTTTGTTCAATATATATTTATTCTACATTTTTGTATTGTTTTAATTGTTGTGCCTAATATATTAAGATTTTAGGTTTTCATAAATACATTTTGATTGATTGATTGATTTGAATGGGACAGTGCACATTAACCGACATGTGTCCATGTAAATATGCTAGATTTAGCCATGAAGTTCTGTTGTTCCATGGAAATTGATGTTACAGCCATCACCAAACAGCAACAGTTATTAAAAGCCACATACAAACATGAAAAGCAGGAGAGTGAAAGCAGCAACAAGAGCATTGCACAGTACATGACATCAAAAACATTGGACAGGCAATAAGGACATTAAATTATTAGTTCATGCTGCACATTTCATTGTATATATCCTATGATGAAAATGACTTGAAATCTAATTCCCCAAAGACCCTAAACAATGATGGTGTAGAATAGAGATGATTTACCAGGACTTAAAGGAGCTAAACCCGTTTCTACAAGGTTTGAAGGTTTCGCACCACCCCTCAACTCGCTCACAGGGTTCTCATTTCCCCTTCGCTCTCATCCCATGGAGCCATCTAGTTTAATTTGCGATCTGACATGTATGCTAACATTAGCAGTAGTGCAACTTCTTGTAAGCTGTACAACCATCACTGATGAAATGGTACAAAAGCAACGCACTGCTAACACAATATATAAGTAAATGAATACTGCTAGTTTCGCGTCCCAATGTAATAATTTAAACATTAGAATATATTCGAATATTTAATTATAATTTGTTATACAGCTCCTTACAGCAGCAGTAGAACACTCCTTTAACTTGAATGTAATTTCAAAACGTTTTACCTATCATTTTTTCTTGACAACAGAACTTTCAAACCAATAATGGCAGCTGCCCTTTGGCAACGCAATGTCTGTTTGTAATTCAGGTGTGTAAAATACTAACATTACTCCACAAGTACAACGAGCTTTCAGCGCCTGTCACTACTTCTGTCTGTGCAGAGAAGCTAGCGGAGCTTGCCACGCTCAATAAACAAATACCAATCAATCAATCAACACCTTTAAATGTTAATCGGAGAATACATTATACATATACATCCTTAACACACATTCACGGAAGTTTTCAGAATTTGTTAACGTTTTCATGACAAAAATACTGTTTTAATGTGACAAAAGCAATTGCGATAAACCCAGAAGTAACCATTAACATGAAACAAACATTTTAACACACATTTGAAGAGGATCTGATGATTGGTATATAAATGGGTAACTTATGATGTTCACTTATGATGAACTTATGACGCTGATGTTCAGAATTCTTTGTTCAGTTTTCATGTAGTTCCAGAGAGTTTTTGAACTAGCTAGCTTAGCTGTTACCTGCCTAGCACGTCACGGTGAAACCTTTGGGAGCTAACTATTTCATTTGCAGTCATTAAATACATTTTTAATTATAAGGGCTGTCTAATATTTGTTCGAAATATATATATATATATATATATATATATATATATATATTATTTCATTTTAGAATTATATTTGAATTTCGAAGTCAAAGCCCTAGACTGTTTACCAGCGCTGTAGAGGCTAGAGGACGCAGGCTGTTCGCACCTCGTTCTGTGAGTGGAGGAGAACGAGCGTCCCGCTAAGACTCTCTCAGCACTTTTCACGGCCTGAATTCATACACAAGCTGAATCAATGAGCTCAAGTTTTCAATTAAAATACGGATTATAATACAACTTTTATGTAGTAATAAGCATTTTTATGAACTACTTAGAAAAAAAAGCAAAAAAAAAAGCTGAAATTTGGACTCCATCAGGCCCAGACAAAGGAAGATGCTTGACCAGTAAAAGCAGGTCTTTGCTGCTCTGTGTTAAGCCCTCCCCTACTCTCTCCTCAGAGCGGCCCATCGGCTCGCTCCTGTCATAAGATGTGCATAGACTCGGTGCGCAGGCAGATCTACACTCTGGGCCGGTACCTGGACTCGAGCGTGAGAAACAGCAAGAGTCTAAAGAGCGACTTCTATCGATACGACATCGAGCAGAACACCTGGAGCCTGCTGAGCGAAGACACGTCGGCAGACGGAGGGCCCAAGCTTGTGTTCGACCATCAGGTGAGAGCATTTGTAAACTTGTGCTTTCTTTGCACCTTTTTACATTATGAAAGTATTTTGAGCAAAGTATTTTATTGCTGTTTTTTTTTTTTTTTTAAGATGGCTGAGTATTGTAGACTGATTTAGGGTTAGGGTTAGATACTAATAAAGTTTTCGGTTCTTTGTTTAGAACAAAATATGTGTTCCTTTTCCTGAGATAAATTATTTTCAAAAGAGGCCAGGGTTGCACATATTTATTCACAAGCCTTCATGAGTTTTGACTCCCATTCATTTTAATAAGCAACAGACTGCCGACAGTTGAGTTGACAGTACCAGGTTAACAGCTGGGAAGGGTCACTTTTTGTATTTGACTGGAAATATAAGTGATGTAATTTTGATGCTAACTATGTCTAGCTCATTCCAATGATTGTGTGTGTGTGTGTGTGTGTGCGTGCGTGTACGTGCGCCTGTTGTCATCTCAGATGTGCATGGACTCGGAGAAGCACATGATCTACACCTTTGGGGGGCGCATTCTCACCTGTAACGGCAGCATGGAGGACACACGCACCACCGAGCCGCAGTTTTCTGGTCTCTATGCTTTTCAGTGTGCCAGCGCAACCTGGAGGCTGCTGAGGGAAGACTCTTGTAATGCAGGACCAGAGGACATCCAGTCCCGCATAGGGCACTGCATGCTCTTCCACACAGTGAGGAGTTAGGGAATCGATGGGAAAGACTTTCTTTCCCATCGATTTACATTTTCACTCTTTCATTAGTATACCGTACAGTGGTTCTCAAACTAGTCTAGATTTTTTTTTATATTTCTAATTTGTTTGATTTCAATTGTATGATTTTCTAACCTGTGGGACAATCAACAATTCTATGACACCTCCGATACAACTGCTGCATTTGATTTTTCTGAAGCATGATGTAAGACTCTTATGAGAGTGGTGTGTGAAAAGTGTTCATCAAAAGTGCTATAAAAGCAGTATGCATTATTATCATTATTACTGTGAGAAGTGTTTATTCTCTCTCCAGTGTCACAGAGCAGGTATAAAGTATAAAGAAAGTAACCTCCACCAAACTATAAAAATGACTCTTCTCTGTACACTCTGCAGCCTGCACAACAGGAAGAAACTCAGCTCAATTCAATTTATTCTTGTATAGCCCTAAATCAACAGCAGAACTTTACTAAACCGTTGAATTCGCCAACACAGATCAGAGAATCAAACAGTTCAAACACAAGAAATGCAATGTCCATTAATGTTGATGAATGTGTTCCGGATCATCACCATTAGAGGTGGGGTAAATTTCCAGTTCTCAGATTAATCGCAATTCAGCCTTTTCTGCTCCTTTCCTTTATGTAAATGTTTAAAATATGAATGTAACTATTAGGTGAACAAGTGAACAAAGCATTTTCATGAAAGGAACAAATACATAAATACAAATGATACAATACAAGAATTGAGAACAATTCACAAACATCCAAATTCAGATTATTTAAATGTGTCTATAATTTGTCCGCCGCCCGCACAAACAAACACATACATTACCCACTAAGACGCAGCAAATTTGAGAAAGACACATCTCACATCACTTGTACTCATTCACTCTCAATTGATGGCAAAGAACGCAATTCATGCTCAAGCAGGTTGGCGCACAGTAGTAGTAGTAGTAGTGTAAACAGGAAGAGAAACGAAAACTTAACACGGACCTCAAGGTTGTTAGGCCCTTCTGACCTTACCCTGAGGTTGTGCTTGTGACCGCAGCCTAACAGCCAGAGAACAATCGAGGATGCTTTGGGTAAGCTGCCACCCACATTGCAAAAGCCCAAGCGTATTTTGAAAGGCATTGCGGAATTATTGTTTAGAGCTGTTGGTAGTAGTAGTTATTTTAAGCCTGAGTGTATTATTTGTAATATACATATGAAACGTTAAAAGCTGCAAAAAGCACCTTGAGTGGTACATTAAAGTTCAAATGATCCTGCATTTCCATTTCAATTGGTATTTTCATTAAGGTAATAAAATATAATGGAAATTAATTATAAAAGTGCATCAATATGAATATATTGAAAATGCATCAATAACTGTTTCAAAATCAAATTGCAGCCTCTGAATCGTAATCGTATCGTGAGGTGCCCCCAGGTTCCCACCCTTATTGTCTTTTGGCCCTACTGCATCACCAAGGATTTTTTTAAATTAATAAACCTAATGTATTTGGAAGGCAAAATGATTGGATTTAATAATTTGAGCTGGGGACTGATTAATACTACTACAGAAAAAACCCAAGTCGGTATAAAGAAGGAAAGAAGGGGCAAGTCGAGAACAATGAAATTACTGATAAGGATTATGATTGTGATGTGGTTGTGATGGTCTTAATGGTTCTGTTGCCAGAGAAATCGTTGCTTGTATGTGTTTGGGGGCCAGCGGTCCAAGACGTATCTGAACGACTTCTTCAGTTACGACGTGGACGGAGATCACGTGGAGATCATTTCAGACGGAACCAAGAAGGACTCAGGCATGGGTGAGGAGAGACTCCTTTATACTTTATCCCTTTGAGACACGTGGCGTTTGAACTGGGGAAGTTACATAGGAACGTAGGATCTGTGACGTGAACACGTTGTGCAACACGTAAAAAATCTGTGCGAAGCGCAAGCTTTGACTATGATTTATTAAACAAGGTAAATTATACAAATCCTCGAAGCAGCGGAATTTACTGGAATATTTTTTGTACTTAAATTATTGAATTATTTGAGTAATTCCATGAATTGTTTCAGTTCTACCTCCAACTAAACAACAAAATTGCTTTTACATGTTACTCCTAGTTTAATCTCCTAGGGCTCCTAGTTTGTACTGCATAACTGCGATTAACATTTTCTTTACTTTTGATCTTGGTGTAGTGCAGTGTTTTTCAAACTTTTTTGAGCCAAATCAAAAAATTGTTCAATGAAAAAATCTTGCAGCACACCACCATGTAAAAATATATACTCTTATAAAGTCATTCTCATTAAAGTGCTTAAATCCAGGCCTTCACATTAAGCTTTGTTTAACATTCATCAATAAAATGGGTTAACAAGAGTTTGGGAATAAAGTGGCAATATCTGTGTGGAAAAAAACTCTGTCCACAAGTCCATGGTTCTGCCCGCACGTCCATGGCGCTCGGTACGTTGGCTGAGCTCGGGGTCAGAGCGGAGTATGTGAATCCTGTTCAGAAATGGCATAATTCCTTTTCAAAAACGTCTCTTTCACTTTTCACTCGCCTCAATGCTGCTCACTCCGTTACATTTGTTGGTTGTGTCCATTTCTTACGTTTCTCGCCGCATGGTCCCTGTTACAGACTGTGGTTGCGTCCAATTCTTACGTTTCAAAGTTCTTAACTATCTGCTGCCACCTACTGATATGAAAAAGTATTACGTTGTTACTCCACAGTTCAAAACAAGTCAGCACTCGCCAACGGTGGCTGCAGTTATTTTTAGACAAAGTAGGCGAATTTCTCACGGCACACCAGACCATATCATACAGCACACTAGTGTGCCGTGGCACAGGGGTTGAAAAACACTGGTGTAGTGATAATTTCATTTTTGAGTAATTTATATTATCTTGGTAGCCATTTTCCCCCTGACTCCTTTGATGCCCACTGCATTTACATTCTTTTGCCCATTATTTTCTAAATCTCTGCTATGCAATTGATTTGATCAATGGGCAAGCATTATTGCTCAGTGGGGGGAAAAAACAGCTGATTGGGAACATGATCTGCCGTGTGAGTGAAGTCCGTGGACCCATAGTTGTCACACACTGCTGTTGCATTAGCAGGCAGAGCCATGCAGCAGGACCGAATACGGCAGTGCATCAGTTTGTTTCTTTTATTGTTTTAGCAACTGAAATGTTTTGAATGATGGAATAAATAAGTTACAAACTGAAAATGCGTCATACAGTATTTAGTCAGCCAAATTCTCCCACTTAAAATGATGAGGTACGCTTGTAAATTTCATCATAGATATACCTCAACTATGAGAGACAGAATGAGAAAAAAATAACATAATCTGATTTTTAAATAATTTATTTTCAAATTAGGGTGGATAATAAGTATTTTTTCAAAAACAAAAGTTAATTTCAATACTTGAGAACTTTTGACAGTTGATTTCTTCACATCAAGCTGCTTACCTATTGCAGATTCAGTCTTCCCATGCTGGTGCAGGTCTTTTACAGCAGATCATTGGTCTTTGCCATAGTGGAGTTTTGGAGTGTGACTGTTTGAGGTTGTGGAAAGGGTTCTTTCATACTGATAACGAGTTCAAACATTAACTCGTTATCATTAGCACAGGCCATTAATACAGATAACGAGTGGAGGATTTTCTGAATATTTTTTTCTCTCATTCTGTCTCTTATAGTTTCGGTATACCCATGATAAACATTACAGGCCTCCCTCATCTTTTTAAGTGGGAGAACTTGCACAATTGGTGGCTGACTTTGCCCCACTGTATTTGAACACTGTTGTGGCAGTCATGTAGCAGACTTTGTCAAATGTACCTTGCAGTTCCCATGACGGGCTTCACACAACGCGCCACCATCGACCCGGAGCTGAATGAGATCCATGTGTTGTCCGGACTCAGCAAAGACAAAGACAAACGAGAGGAGAACGTCCGCAACTCGTTCTGGATTTATGACATCGCCCGCAACAACTGGTGAGCTGCACATCACTCTGATCTTCAAATAAATAACTGGGAAAAGTATAGCTAACTACAAACCAGTTTGCACAGTGAAGAATGGAAAAGGCCAACTATGACTATCTGGAATACAGATATAGGATTGCTATGTAAATTAACGGACAGGTTCTAGTTTTAGCCCTTCCTGGTTTAATAGTCTTTACAGTTACAATCCAATCCTTTACCTTTATTCTACATGAAACAAAAGGCTCTGTTTGAGAGGCACAGAGATACGAATCCATGTTTTATTCCCTGCATTGGTGTGTTTGTCATCCTTTGTTTGTTTACAGTATCTGATTTTTTTAGTAAAGCAGCTTTATGTGGCTGACCCCTGGGAGGCGGCATTCAACAGACAGATCATTTAATACAGGCCCCGTTTAGACGGAGACGCTGCGGCAGTAAAACGCTATTGTTGAATGTCGGTTCCAGGGTGATGAAAACGTAATTGTTAAGAGCCTACAGAGTGGGACAGCTCAGATATGCTGCTCAGCGGGGCGCACGTTCACACCCGCGTGAAGAAAAAGGTGCGAATTCTCTGCTGCTCTGACCGCCACCTCCCCGCTGCTCCCCGCACGTACATTTGGACATGCGCAGTAGCCGAGAACAAATGGGGCGGCACTGTGGCTGAGTGGATAGCGCACTCTCCTCTCAGCAAGAAGGTTCTGGGTTCGAATCCCAGTCGAAACAGGGCCTTTCTCAGTGGAGTTTGCATGTTCTCCCCGTGTCTGCGTAGGTTTCCTCCGGATACTCCGGTTTCACCTACCACTCATCACATGTGCAATAGTTCAGGGTGAGTGAGTGTGTGTTTGTGAGTGCAAATGTGGGACAACGGATGCAAATTATCCCATGGGTACAATCAGGAGTGATGTGTTCATTAAAATGTACTGTCCCTACCAAATAAACAATAAATAAATAAATGAATAAACAACAATGACGGCAGGTGCACTTACTAGCTAATTAGTGTGCTCTGATCTGTGTTGGTGATTTCAACGGTTTTGTTAAGTCCTCTGTATGGAAGATTTTTTGTGTCATCAGATTTTGAATTTTTTTTAGCTCGAATTTTTCCATTTGAAATTTTTAACTCTGAAAAAGCATGTTTGAATATTTTTATCTTTGCATTTCAATCACAAAAAATTCAGATTACAAATTTCAATGTGATTAAAATTTCAAAATGACATATTCACCTTACAAATATTCAATACATTTTTTTTTCAATGAAAAAAAAAAAGACTATGTATCATCAGAAATTGAATTTTAAATGGACCTGAATTCATCTATTTGAATGTTTTTAACATCTTGAATATTTGAAGATTTCAGTCACTGATTATCAATTTCACAATGTTAAATTCAACAGTTAAAATTCAACGAGAAAAAATTCAATGGTGAAAAATGCACATGACACATCCGGTGTTCTGACGAGTTGTGTGTCAGTTGGTCTGCGCATGCGTCATTTTACTGAGGTACAGACAGGCGCTAGCTTTCAGCAGGTCTATCGGTTGATAACATGAATCTAACAGGTTGATATGGGATTTCTAATGAATAGATTGTGATGAAACCAAGGTGAATAACAAGATGATACTACATTAATTTGATGAATTTGTCTTTTGAACATTTTGGGTAAATATGCTTGTTTCAAATCATTATTGCTGTATATTCCTGTTTATTTATTTAGGCTGTGTGTGTTTGTTTGTGTTCATGAAAACCATCATATTTGAACATTTATAGCAACAAAGGACAGTGTTATTGTTGGTTACGTTACACAGTATTTGGGTCTAGTTTCCAGTGTAGCAGTTTCCACAGGGCTCACTCGTGTTACTTGAAAAAGAGCTCCATGTAAAGAAATTAACAAAAAACATGTGTTCCACAGCTCGAACTCTTGTACACTAAATGATATTTGCTGAGTTGTCTCTGAAATAAAGTAACAACGGTAAGAACACCGTATGGCTCCTTATTTCTTGAGCTGTGAAAAGTTACGTGCTCGTTCGGCTCCACTCGCTCCGTAAACAAAGAAAAATCTCTCTCTCTCTCACTCTCTCACACGCACACACAAAAAGTGACGATAACGTAAATATTCTAAGTTAACAAAATCTCCATTAGTTCTAAAGGGTCTAATGTATAATAGTAATAATAATGTATAATAACGATAGATTCCAACGTCAGTGAAGAGAAAACGGAGTTCATTATGCGCAGACCAACTGACAGAGCACACAACTCGTCAGAACACCGGATGTGTCATGTGCATTTTTCACCATTGAATTTTTTCTCGTTGAATTTAACATTATGAAATTGATAATCAGTGACTGAAATTCACAGAAAAAAACATTAAAATAGATGAATTCAGGTCCATTTAAAATTCAATTTCTGATGGAACAAATAATCAGTCTTTTTCTTTTTTTTCATTGAAGAAAAATAAAATTGAGTATTTTGAAGGTGAATATGTCATTTTGAAATTTTAATCACATTGAAATTCGTAAACTGAATTTTTGGTGACTGAAATGTAAAGAAAAAAATATTCAAACATGCTTTTTCAGGGTTAAAAATTCCAAACGGAAAAAATCAAGCTAAAAAAATTCAAAATCTGATGACACAAAAAATCTTCCATACCTCTGTGATAAGTTCTGTTGTGATTTAGGGCTATACAAGAATTTATTGAATTGAGTTGAATTGAACTGTTAATTACAATGGCAATAAAACAGACACCACATCAGCAGCCTCAGCACAGCACAAGGGCAAAATAAAGTCCGGTCCAGACATGTTTGTCACATCTGATAATCATGGCTGAACATGTATGTGTTGGAGTTTTGACCTTGGTTTTTGGCTTTTGTGATGCAGTGCTGTTCTGCCCTGTTCTGGTTCTTCTCCACGTTTATGCTGGTTTTGTGCCACGTGCGCCCTTTTCCTATGTGTCCTAGTAGCGCAAATGCACTTTGGGGAAATGATAGCTGCCTGTGGAGTTAGGCCACATCTGAGGCTCTTTTTCCTTTGCATTTCAATGATGTCCTGTTTTGATCAAAGTATTCAAACGATTCTGGTTTTCTTATGACTCCTTTATTATCCACTGTTTCTCCATACGGCTGGATCAGACGGCAGCACACTCATTCAGAAATACCACTCACACATTTTTGACGTTTGGTAGGAACATGTATCTGCAATATTGTTAATGGTGGCCCGGTATTTTGTTGTCTTTAAAGTGAATACAAACAAACATTGTAAATGTGTGTCCTGTGTGGCCCCAGGTCATGTGTTTACAAGAACGACCAGGCGGTGAAGGAGAACCCCAAAGCTCTGCAGGAGGAGGAGCCGTGTCCGCGCTTCGCTCATCAACTGGTGTACGACGAGATGCACAAGGTCAGGATTTCACAACACTCTTGTGTGATGTAGGGTTGCAGCAATACACACTAATATACAGTGTTCGGCCCCCTTGAACCTTTCAACATTTCGCCACATTTCAGGCTTCAAACATAAAGATATAAAAATTTAAATTTTTGTCAAGAATCAACAACAAGTAGGACACAATTGTGAAGTGGAACGACATTTTTTGGATAATTTAAACTTTTTTAACAAATAAAAAACTGAAAAGTGGGGCGTGCAATATTAGTCGGCCCCCTTGCGCTAATACTTTGTAGCGCCACCTTTTGCTGCAATTACAGCTGCAAGTCGCTTGGGGTATGTCTCTATCAGTTTTGCACATCGAGAGACTGGAATTCTTGCCCATTCTTCCTTGCAAAACAGCTCAAACTCAGTGAGGTTGGATGGAGAGCGGTTGTGAACAGCAGTCTTCAGCTCTTTCCACAGATTCTCGATTGGATTCAGGTCTGGACTTTGACTTGGCCATTCTAACACCTGGATACGTCTATTTGTGAACCATTCCATTGTAGATTTGGCTTTACGTTTTGGATCATTGTCCTGTTGGAAGATAAATCTCCGTCCCAGTCTCAGGTCTTTTGCAGACTCCAACAGGTTTTCTTCCAGAATGGTCCTGTATTTGGCTCCATCCATCTTCCCATCAATTTTAGCCATCTTCCCTGTCCCTGCTGAAGAAAAGCAGGCCCAAACCATGATGCTGCCACCACCATGTTTGACAGTGGGGATGGTGTGTTCATGGTGATGAGCTGTGTTGCTTTTACACCAAACATATCGTTTTGCATTGTGGCCAAAAAGTTCGATTTTGGTTTCATCTGACCAGAGCACCTTCTTCCACATGTTTGGTGTGTCTCCCAGGTGGCTTGTGGCAAACTTTAAACGAGACTTTTTATGGATATCTTTGAGAAATGGCTTTCTTCTTGCCACTCTTCCATAAAGGCCAGATTTGTGCAGTGCACGACTGATTGTTGTCCTATGGACAGACTCTCCCACCTCAGCTGTAGTTATCTGCAGTTCATCCAGAGTGATCATGGGCCACTTGGCTGCATCTCTGATCAGTCTTCTCCTTGTTTGAGATGAAAGTTTGGAGGGACGGACGGGTCTTGGTAGATTTGCAGTGGTCTGATACTCCTTCCATTTCAATATAATTGCTTGCACAGTGCTCCTTGAGATGTTTAAAGCTTGGGAAATCTTTTTCTATCCAAATCTGGCTTTAAACTTCTCCACAACAGTATCTCGGACCTGCCTGGTGTGTTCCTTTGTCTTCATGGTTCTCTCTGCGCTTTAAACAGAACCCTGAGACTATCAAAGAGCAGGTGCATTTATACGGAGACTTGATTACACACAGGTGCATTCTATTTATCATCATCAGTCATTTAGGACAACATTGGATCATTCAAAGATCCTCACTGAACTTCTGGAGTTTTTATTTGTTAAAAAAGTTTAAATTATCCAATAAATTTCGTTCCACTTCACGCTTGTGTCCCACTTGATGTTGATTCATGACAAAAAATTAAAATGTTATATCTTTGTTTGAAGCCTGAAATTTGGCGAAATGTTGAAAGTTTCCAGGGTGCCGAATACTTTCGCAAAGCACTGTATGGTTACTCGGGAGGCACTCTTTTACGATCAGTAAATCTACATGCATAATTATCATTGATCACAAACAGATTCCGATTTTGTGGTGATGACGAAACATTTTAACATACACAATAATACAATAATGAGCTATGAGTTCAGCTGTAGATCAGCCTTTCTAAAACTACCAAAACTTGTTTTGGTGTACTGTATGGATTCTCAAGTGAGTATCTTGTTTCCTATGTATGTTCAGTAGTTTCTTATTATATGATTTATGATTCTCAGAATCTCATTTTGTCCACGTTCAACGGCCACTGGTCCACGTTCTGTAGCTTAGGTCCTGGATCTATAGCCCGTCCGTCCGTGGGAGCGGATCCCTTTCTCAAACTATGGGTCTCCCCGAGGTTTCTCACTTTTTCCCACTGGGTTTTCTTATGAATTTTTCCCTGCCGATGCATGAGGGTCTGTTGGGCAGTTAGTGTCCAACTAGAAGGACATTTAACATGTGTTCTATATTCTGTGTGTTTTAACTGTTGATTCTCTGATCTGTGTTGGTGATTTCAATGGTTTTGTTAAGTCATCTGAGATGAATTCTGTTGTGATTTAGGGCTATACAAGAATACTAGGGATGTAAAAAACTATGAATTTTCATGACCGACCACCGAGCCTCATTAACCGGTTGAAACCGGTTAACCGCGTAGTTTAAAATAGTCCACGTTCTTTGAAATAACAGCCATTTCGAGCCGCGTACTTTTCATAAGTGCAGCTCTGCGTTCTACTGGATCAGAGCCGAGACAGCGGCGCCCAAACCCGCAACAGCTCCGGCACCTTTGCGCACAGAGAACTGCTTTTTTAATCTTCCCATTCTGCTGAGCTGCGGGTTAATACCAAAACTTTCTAGCAGCAAACACGGCTCGTTCACATGGTCAGAGCAGCGAGTGACGAGCCGCGTCTCACAGGTCTTCACAAAAGTTTAAATACAAGTGATGTGTGTGGAGCTGATGCCGAGGACCATAAACACAAACATGTCCCATGTGGTTTGACTGGAGCCGCGTATTTGCGCGAATCCTTTGGGCTCCGTGACACAGAGGAGCGCGACAGACCGGTATGTGTGTGTATGTATGTGTGTGTGTGTGTAAATGTAAGCTCCAATGTAGTTCTGACCCGCGCCAGTGTGCAACTTTGACGGTAACAGAGGGGAGAGATGATGCGTGTGGATGTTACGTATGGAGAGGGGGAAAGTGTGTGTGTGTGTGTGTGTGTGTGTGTGTGTGTGTGTGTGTGCGCGCGCGCGTGCGTGTGTGCATATGTGGCTCGTGCGGCGTGAGAGTCGTCCCGGAGTTTATAATACATGGGCGCACACAGCTAGATACAGACCCGCTCGTCACACCGTGCAAATAGGGCTTAAAATAGCGTTATTAAGAGACCTCCCCTCTCTCCTTTTTCTCTTTTTTAACCGACAGCTTTGACCGGTTAACGCTGTGACGGTCAACCACCGGTTAACCGGTCGCCGATTTACATCCCTAAAGAATACATTTTATTGTATTGTATTGTATTTAGGATATTAGATGTAATTGTTGGAACAACTTTTCAGGTGCATTATTTATTCGGAGGAAACCCGGGGAAGTCAAGCTCTCCAAAGATGCGTCTGGATGATTTTTGGTCTCTGAAACTGTGTCGACCATCAAAGGAATATCTGCTGCGACATTGCCGATACCTCATCCGCAAGTACAGGTGTGTTTGATAACCACATCATTATTTAAAATTCACTAGTAAAAGCTTTTCTAAAGTTGTGTTTTTAGTGATTCATGTTTGGGTAATAATTCACCTCCTCCAGTACTTGCCCTCTGTTGCTGTTGCAAATTGTTTGTGATCAGATGAATCATCAGCAAAAATAATAATTATAATGATGATCTCAAATGTGTGAAAAATATTCCAGTCTATATTTTTCTCATGCTTGAAATTAAATGATCACGGAAACAATCCTGTGATCCCATTTTCACTTTTTGAAATGAATTAGTCAAATGACCCCTGGTGGTGACCATTCGCACTGCTCTGTTGTAGGTTTGAGGAGAAGGCCCAGTCAGAGCCTCTGTCTGCACTCAAGTATCTACAGAACGATTTGAGTCTCACAGTGGATCATAGTGACCCTGGAGAGATCAAAGAGGTGAGTTGCTACTGCCACTATTTCTTCTGCTAACACTGCTACTGCTAGTACAAGCATACCAGAGGAGAGCTACAACTGCAACATATTGTGATGTTTTGGGGCTGTTGCTGGGCAACACGGACCAACAACTCCCCCCAGAGAATTGCTATGAGGTTGAGGTCTGGAGACTGCCTTGGCCAATCTTGGATCTTGAAATGCGGTGTGTTTGGGATCACTGTTATGCTGGAAGAACCAGTTACGTTTAGAGCTGCAGCTATTTTAGTGATCTAGAGCAATTCATCTGATTTTATAATAAATCATTTTTTGCTTAAGGATTAATTTGTAATATACAATATACAATATCAAATAACAAACCACTTAATAATAATAAGTAAACTGATCAAATCAAAACAGATCAGTCTCCCTCTCCCCTTTGCAGAAAAGCAGCCCCAAATCATAATGTTTCCTCCCCCATAGTTCCGGCTTCCAGCATGAAAATGATTCAAAACACACTTCCCAGGCAACAGAGAAGTGGCGTCATAAGAAGCATTTCAAAATCCAGAGCTGAGGCCAGACCTCAACCCAAAATATCCTTGTCTTTATCAATGTCAGTGCTTCCAAACTAATAGGTCCATGTTCCAAACACACTTAAAGCCACCCTGTGTACTTTTTACAACTGCTCCATATGAAAAAAACATGTTAACTAATAACAAATGTGACCCTTTTAAGAATATTTACCTCCACCATGTTTTTTGAATTGTATTCATAGGCTTAGAATTTAACTTATAAGTATCCATGAGAGCTGAGGACTATCCGTGTAAATGTGCCATCTTGAAAAACAGTGGTGGATAAGGGACAAAAAGGATGCAAGAATCGCGTTTTCGTTTCACATGAGCTACTGATATCGTTGCTTTCACCGTGCCTTCACAAGTTGGAAGAAGGAACCATGGAGGACCACAGTTGTTTTAAGCTCCCTCAGACGTTAATCCTCCATGCGTCTCTTCTCTTCACACCGCGTTTGTAAAACTATATATTATAATAGATCCATGGTAAAACTCAGTAGAGCCTCTGTGCAGGGTGCCGCGTCTGAACGTGGTCTTATTTACATGTCGGCTCCACGCGGCTGTCAAGAGGCCGAGACGTTTGGAGAGATCCGGTCATTTATCAAACTAAAGTATTCTTTCCTTGGCAGTCTGGTGAATCACTGAGAGTACTATAATGGACTGTAATATAAGATCTCAACGCTAGATAGCACTAAAAATTACACAGTGTACCTTTAAGGCTAAGCTGACATGGCAGGTTGCATCTGAAGCAAAATATATGTATATATTAGGGCTTAAAGGAATAGTTCACCGTTTTTACATACTGACATATGTTCTTACCTTACCTTAGACTAGTTAATACGTACCTGTGTGATCTTAGTCCGTGCGCTCTGTCATGCAAACGGAGCAAAAACGGGAGGACAAATGCAGCCTCCTCTGTATACTGTGTAGCACCAAAAGGTAGCTCCCGCTAGAAGCTACCAAACTCTTCCAAGTGTTCCCTATTAAATGTATATAGTTACGTGACGTGTTACACTGCAAAGTATAGTAACACAGAAATGTAACTGTCGATTTTCTCAGCGGATAAAACGGGTACTATATTGTGAGGCGTAGTAATCTGAGGAGCGCTACGTCCGCGCACTAACTTCTCTCTGTACTACAAGTCACGCTGCTTCTATTGACGGAAGTGAGCGAGAGAGAAGTCTCCGGACAGAAGTTAGTGCGCGGACGTAGCGCTCCTCAGATTACTACGCCTCACAATATAGTACCCGTTTTATCCGCTGAGAAAATCGACAGTTACATTTCTGTGTTACTATACTTTGCAGTGTAACACGTCACGTAACTATATACATTTAATAGGGAACACTTGGAAGAGTTTGGTAGCTTCTAGCGGGAGCTACCTTTTGGTGCTACACAGTATACAGAGGAGGCTGCATTTGTCCTCCCGTTTTTGCTCCGTTTGCATGACAGAGCGCACGGACTAAGATCACACAGGTACGTATTAACTAGTCTAAGGTAAGGTAAGAACATATGTCAGTATGTAAAAACGGTGAACTATTCCTTTAATTAATTGTTTTCATTAATCGCGTAAAAAAAAATTACGCAATTTACACATACCCAGTCATCCCATAATAACACTCAGAATGCCGCTGACACGTGTGTGTGAGATGGCAACAGAGCAGGTCTCTTGGAATTCACGTTTTAAATACACGCGTTTCCTGTATGAATGACTGTATGACTCTGCGAGCTGGACAGCAGTTCCTCCAGCGGCTGTGCTCACGGCGAACGGCGCCGCGTAACGTGATCATATCCAAGGCCACGCACAGAACTATTCTCTGCTTCTAATGTACGTGTCTTTGCGTAACCGGTGCGCAGAATATATACAGCGCAGAAGCTGGACTACGGAGCCTCAGTCTCCTCCGTGTCTTCTCCCGAAGTGCACTCGCTAAATTAAAGCTGGGGTACCTAATTTTCCCTTCCACTACCAGTTCATGACAGATTTAATGACATTCTGCATTTCAGACTGTTTGAAATGTCCATCATCTGTAACAAACAATAGTTTTGGTCTGAGTCTAAACAGTGGATTATTGTTGTTATAGTAAACAAATACTGTACATTTATACTCTATATTGGCATGTATCTTTCCATTCAAACAACCATTTACAGAAAAAGATGGCATCATTTTGTCGATAGTTTGAAATGCGATTAATTACAATTAATTAATTTTTAAGCTGTAATTAACTCAATAAATGTTTGTTATTGTTTGACAGCCCTAGTATATATATATTTATATATTGTCAATATTTTCTCAACAAATAAATGGAAGAGGACATTTTGTTTGTAAAATGAGATAAGAGCTGTGATACGCCAGAACATAATGCTAGAAGCCTGGTATTCAAAGATGAGACAACAGCTTTTTATTTTAATCAAATGTATTTTTCCAGCTTTTAAAAAACATGTATTTTTTCATTCAGTTCCAGCTGTTGCCGACTGCTTTGTTCAAGTCCAGCTCTGACTTCATCCCTTTGGGTGAGAATATTATTACATCATATCTCCATAGAGCAAATACAGTATAAGAAAATGGCTATATTTGTGACACACCAAAAAGGGGAACTATTTCAGTGTTTGGATCATCATGCTTTAAATAGCAGTCACCTCAGAAGATCATGTAAATGCTGTAAAGACCCGTCCTAGCAGCCTCACAGGACTTGAGTCTTGGATGGCTGCTGTCGTTACTTAAACACACAAGGTGGTGCAGTGTGCAAGTACAGTGTGTAAGTGTTCATCCTGTTTCAGGTTTCTCAGATGTGGACCAGACTTACGCACAGAGGACCCAGCTCTTTGACACGCTGGTCAACTTCTTCCCCGACAACATGACCCCGCCCAAAGGAAACCTGGTGGACCTCATCACGCTCTAGCCCCGCCCCTAGACATCACCACCACCTCTCAGTCTGTAGACATTGCCCGATCTGGCAACCACCACAGCAGATTTTTCAAGTGGAAGTAAAAGGTTTTCCTCCTCTGGCCTGTTTCTCATGGGGCTTCTAACAAGTGTCATTGGTTGTGACCGAACATCCACTCAATTCCCTTCTTAGGGCACTATCTATATTTCAAGAGCAGTCCCAATGTCCAAAAGAGAAAGTAATGTGACCGGTCCTTCTCACCCGATCAATATGAACCACCAGAATCTGGGATAGCAGACACAACACTAAGTAAACAGATTAGTTTGAGTGTACTGGTGACCCAGAAGGATACACGAACACTTGCACATAAAGCATTATCTTTTTAGATGCTTGTGTTTGCCGCCCACCTTATCTTCAGCCTGTAATTGTTTTCATTCTTGGGCATAAAGCTGAAACTCTGTCCACTCTGATATTCAACGTGAGATCCGTTTAGACTGAAACCTGTAGAATTCAAAATGGAGTAAAAAGCTTAAAGTAATATTTAGTGAACAGATAAGAACACCTCACACTGTCTTTATCTTGTGAGGAAAACATGTTTTCTTTTACATACTGAGAGCTGACAGAGTGAGAGTGGTCCTCTCTTTTTCTAAAGATGTGGCCAAAAATACATGCGTGTGAAACTAGTAGAACTGTTTGGAGAGCAAGGAACCTAGTGACATATATTTCATGACATCCTTTTTATGGATTCAAGGTTAGGTACCCCCGCTATAAACACTTGAATATAAGTCAGATTTGATGAGTGGTTATTAGCTGACTATTCTTTGAATAATGGTACTTGTGCTGAAGAGAAAGTTGTGGGATGTAGGTGAAGATCAGGGTTATGGAAGAAGCTGGACACAAGACGCAGCCAGAGATTCGAACAAGAGATGGTTGCCATGGTAACCTGTAATAGGTGTTTACACTTGACAATGTCATAAAAAGTGTGCTAGCTAAACTCCTAGTTCATGACCTGACCTCAGAGGGACACAACACATGCGTCTGGGCCAGACCAGGACACATCACTGCAGACATACCTCAGTATTCCACAAACTGACATTACACCAGGGTCCATTCACGTATTAACCCATAAATCACACCAAACACTCATTGTTGCACTTAATGCTTCTGTCTCCTCCTGCAAAATATAAAAGCTCACATTTCTTATCCAGAAAAAGTACATTTTCCATGTCATTGCTCCAGTGTATACTCCTATTCACTGACACTAGACTTTATGTATGTGCTTGTACATTTAATAGGCTTATCCATTCATTTAAACACATATCTTTATGGAAATGTAGTTCTCTACAGACACAATGAATGTCAATAAATATAATTAATTGATTTGGACAGTAAAAGTAGGAATGAAAATTAGAATATTTTTTCAATTTCAATTGAATATATTTCAACTGCAGGATAAGTGACAAAAATATATAAGAATTGATCAAATGCTTCCAATTTCCTTTTTTGTTTCTTAAAATGTATCTATGACAGGTTGACATGTAATCCAGGTTGGATTGACATCTACCTGTTTTATATCTGAAAAACAGTTGTGCACCAACACAGCCATGGCTTGAGAAGAAAAATGGAAATCATTTGAAAGTTACAGGAAGTACAGCAGAGATGTGGATTTGATTACATCACAGCATAGCACAATAATCAAATCATTAATTCAATGCTATAAACAATTATTCTTACATTTGAAATAAGGTGGTATACGAGTAAAATCAAGGCCTTAAACTTTTTGTTGAAAATGGTTATAGTTTTGGAGGCTTTGTCCCTTCATGACAATGTATTCTTCCATTCACTTCATGGCCACTAGAAGCCTGGCCTCTGGCTGTTGCAGTGCCGAACCTCAGACTCAAACATCCTTTGTGAATCTAAAAAGAAATGGCTAAACTCTAGGGTGAAATTGTTGAAATTTTCAACTAAATATAAAATGGATTGTAACTTTTTTATGAAAGTTATTGTCAAATGCACTTTAAAATCATATGGTTTCTTGTCTAAAATATGGACAAGTAGAATAATGGGAAGAAAAGGAAAATTTACATTTCAGTTCTGTGGTTAATTCTAAAATCTTAGATTTTGTTTGTATGAGATCTGCCTGAGGATCCAGCAGAAGAGAAAGCAGTGAACGTTGGATGTCTTCCTGGAACACGGTGTAATGCTCTGTAACCGTGACTTCCCGTAGCACTACTGTTCACAGCTGCTCACCACCGTTCTGTACATAATGTGTTCAAAGAAATCTGCGGCACAGAGAGTGCACATTTCATTCGTTTTTTTATTTTTCAGAATTACTACTGATCTTGCGTATCCCCTTTTTGTTGCTAAGCGGTCCACATGCACATGTAATTTTTCTGTTGGAGGGTCCACAGAGTTCATCATCAAAGCTGGATCCTAAAAAGTATGACCCACAGATATTTACACACAATGTAAATACGTATTTCTAATTTGAAAGAATATTCTGCATTATTTGTGTTTATTGTTGCCTTTATAAAAAAATAATAATAAATTTGCTTTAGAATGTGAATTATATGGATACACATGTAAATTTGTGTGTCGAATGAAGGACCCTCCACTTGGAATGTTACAGAATGACTAACCACCATACTGTCTTAGTGGAGACATGTGACGCAACATTTTGAAACCCTGTAAAGACTTAAACTTACTATAATAATAATATTCTTTTTTTTTTAAGATTTAAAACGTCATTGGCGTCTGTTGGTGCTGGGAAAGAGAGGGCATGTTGCTGTTTTGAGGTGTGGTCGTGAATGGAGTGCTGCTGCTGCGTTGTATCTACTGTACATACAGAATAAAGATTGTATTTTGTTCAAGCTGTGTGGTTTGTTTTTATTTTCACAGCAGACTGCAGCTACTAAAGGAACATCGCCAAATTCATATCCTATAGGGCTCATAATCGACTGGATTAGCATCAAAATGTCTACTCGACAAGTAAAGTTTGGCATTTGAAGAAATCCATTTCAAATCAGTTACAGTAAAAGTTATCTATGTCTATGTTGTCTGAAATAGTGAAAAAAGTGCAAATCATCTCTGAAAGTGAGCGATTCCGACAGTGACTTGTAAACAGAACTTGCATGTCTCTTGGACATGTTTTAAAAGACGTTCCTTCTCGGGAGCAGGTAGAGCGTTGGTACATGTACATTTTTTTCAGAAAGTGGACAGGGCGGTTCTTCCTACATACCTTTTAAGAAATATATTTTTCAAATAAACAGTGAAATGTTAAAGAAAATTGATTCTTTCTGTATAGTCGCTAAACATTTATAAATAAAACCTTTATCAAAGAATACACCAGAATACAAAATGTATGAAAATATGGGCAATCGGGCATGCAGGTCAACATTTCGATTTATACAACAGTGATGCCCAGAAATGACCTGAGAACTATTTTTGTCAACATTCCAGCAATGTTATTACATATTTGTGTTTCATTTCATTCCAATACTGCTTCTTTGGCAAATATCACATCCTGTAAACAATCCTGGAGCCACAGACTACACTGTACCCAGTTTGGCTCACTTCTGTCTTTATGCAATGAAGAAAAGGCTTTTGGACTGGCATAGATCTGGACCCAAACAAAGTGGCTCAATTATGCATTGATAAAATGTTGTGTGGAAACATGTCAGTGTCGAAACAAAAGAATCTTTTAACAAAAGTACAAAATAAAGCCGAAAGCGGCATCAAACGGCCTTGGCAAATGGGAACTTGCATGCGTATGGAAATTGTATACTATGTGGCCGTATGGGGTGTAGGGGGGCTCTTAATTTGTGGGTCTATAATTGGCCCCTCCTGCTGGTCGTCAACCCATAAAATTGCCCTGATTGCTCCTCTATCTCTGGCCTCTTGCTTTGGGTCTGTACTAAAGCACTAAAGCTACAGATAAATGATGCGTCAACTGTTGATCTACACATAGAGTGCAGTCCTCTTGTTTCTGTAAATTGACGGTGGAACAAGGCTTTGGTCTTGCTTTTCATAAGCTGCAATGATTACATTTGTTTACAAGATGTCAGTGTTACAATCCAGTCTGAGCGGTCTGAGCTAACTCAGAGGCTCCAACACATTTGAACCAATCTGACAAAGAAAGCCTCACTGTATTACGGGGCTTCATCTGCCCATGACGCACATGCAGTCCCACACTCGAATGGACGTCACCATTGACTTAGCATTGAAAGTCACTACAACGCATGATCCAGTCTGAACGCCCTATTAGCCTTGCGTTTGTTTAGGTTACAAATCTGCCGCACCCTTATCCTCTCCCTCATTGGCGCTGCAAATAAGGCTCGAGTTGTAAGTATTCCTGTTTAATTTGTGATAATTGTACAAGATCTCACTGCGCACTGTGCTGTGTTGTCTACTGGTGCCCCCCGGTCCAATATTGGATACTGGTTCTGTTCACTCTGCTTCGCTTTACGCAGTGCCTATAGAGCCCGCATATCCCGGCACTCCTCCAGTGATGTTGATACGAGGGATATTGATCTTACACTGGAGAAAATTACAATTTACTGTAACTGCTTTTGTATTGTAGAGGCTGAAGGTCGATTTCCTTCGTGGTGGTTCCTGTTTGGGTTTCATTTGCAACTTCTCCACCTCTTTAGTTTTCCCTTCACGGTTCGGCCTCAGCCCCGAGCTATCTTTAGCGTGTGTAGTGCTTGGTGGTGCCCGTGTGTTTGATTTCATTATGTTATCTAGGTTCTTATTCTACTCTTTCCACTGTTAAACTACAATACACATCTTGTACTATTACATGGGACTGTCTCTGTCGCCTCAGTGAAACTTACCTGTGTGCTTTTTAGTTGATGTGTTTTCCCAGGTACTAGACCTGGGTGACGTTCTAAATGTATTTCTTTACAATTTACCCTCCGCTATCGCTACATATGGAAATAACAAAAAGATCAATTTATGTGCCTGATGATGTGTCCTGGTCTGTGTAATAGATCAAAATGTCCAACTTTTGAGCGATTGAGCCCTGCATGTGAAAGAGCCAAGACGGAGACATTTAAAGTGCAAGCTGTAAATTTGAGAGCTTTTCCCGTAAACACAGGAGGGTCTGTTATTGCCACATCAACCCGGTGAAAATAAGTCATGAGTCCCATTGACCTTTTGGATGGGACGCCAGAACAGAATGTGGAAAAAAAGAATCAAAAACATCTCCCCAAGAAGTCACAACATCACAACTCTCATGGAGCAAAACCTATTATTGTAATAATTATTATCTGAGACTGATGTCTATAAGCATTGCTATAGACATTTAACTGATTGAAATTCTGATGATGTGGAGCGATCGTGAGTGTCAATGAAACACCCAAGGGACATTTTAAATTGCGAGGTCTAAATTTGTGAGCTTTTACAATTTTACCCTTAGCACAGAGTGTTTATCATTGCCAAGGCAACACAGTTAAAGATAAGGTTCTCATTGACTTTTATGACCTGGATGTCAAACAGAATTTAATTTCTAACATTTATCCATTTAGCTCCCCATGAAAAAGTTTTGCTCACTCTGTAGGGGGCGCTAACGCTCAAATTTCATGTCAATGACAACAGCTGACCAAGGCCCGAGCTTCAAATTGTATGCAAATCTTCCCGTGTGTGTGTAAACAGGAAAAAAAATCACTTGTCAACATTTAAAAAAAGAAAGAAAATTTTGCTAATTTGCCTTTCAAAATTTTAATTATGCAGCTTATCTTTGATGCTACACTTGATTAGATGATGTGCAGTGTGTTCGAGCCCTGTCGGTGAAACAATAGAGGTGGAGTCAATTCTTTGGTTTGATCCACTCTCTGTATAGAGATTGAATGTTCCATATCACAAAAGATAAGTACACCGTTCAAAAATGCCAAGTTTTGAACAGTAAAAATGTTATTAACAGTCCATTCCACTAAGAGCACCCTTGCACATTAATGGCAGGGCTTGTAAGGGGCCTGCAGGCGGAGGGAGCCATGCTGGGGCAGGAAATGGCTGTAGTAGTGTTCCACGAGGATAGCCAGGCTGGGGAAGGTCAGCTCCGCATCCAGGAAAATGCACCCTTTCTGCAAACAGACACACACGCATACAGTGAATCAATGTCAGCGGTTGTTTTATAAAAATCAGTGGTTGAGTAGTCCTGGATGAGTTCCACTAATCGTTCGGTCCCCATGGCTGTCCCATACGCTACTGAGCACAAGCCGTTGATTTGAATAGGCGCCATCTTGGATCACCAAGGCTTGGTTCCAGTCCTACTGTAGGTAACAAAAGGCAACAGTTGTGTACTTCTACTGTGGGTAATGCTATGATGATCACTTGCTGATGAGGCAGGTTTGGCTATGGGGTAACATCTGCAACCATCTTCAACATTTCGTACTAAGGTCTGGAGGTGCTCCCTTGAGAATGCAGAGCTGCATTATTGGAGAAGAACTTTACACAAAAAGCCGCTAACTTAACTCCGTTAGCATGAAAGTCCGTCCGCTCCCTCCGCCACTTCCGACGGGCACCACCGCAGGCCAGGACTTCTGATCTGAACACCCCTGCTTCGGAAATTTAGAAAAGGTGCGCGTGGAAGTTGCGTTCCAGCGTTGGCGGTCTGAACGCGCCATAAGGCCAGGCTAGTCATGAAATGGGTTAAAAACACTGACCGAGTCGTTAAGAAAGCTCGTCAGCGTCTCTACTTTCTGCGTAAACTTAGAGAATTTACCACTAACTCTAAGATTCTGCTTAACTTTTATCGCTGCACCATTGAGAGTTTACTTGTTGGTTCTGTGTCTGTGTGGTTTGGAAACATCACAGATAAAGAAAAGAGAGCATTAAACAAGGTGCTCCGCTCTGCAAAGAGGACCGTGGGCTGTGAGCTTCCTGTTCTGGAGGTTCTTTATAAATCCAGACTTTTAAACAAAGCTCTTAGGATTGTTAATGACTCTTCTGGCCACCCTGGAAAAGCCATGTTCCCGCTTCTTCCCTCTGGCAGAAGATATCGCTCTCTGAGATGCAGGACATCTCGTTATGCTAATGTTTTAGTCGATCAATTTCCTAGTGACATTTGTTTACTGTTTTATTTGTTTTATTTCTGTCTTTTATTGTTGTTTTATGTCTGTATTTGTCTGTGCACACTGGAGACTTTTTGCTAACGTATTCCAATGTGCTGTTTTTCCTGCAAATGGCAAATAAACTGAATCTGAATCTGACACAAGTATTTTTGTTAAAGTAAAACATTTTAGAGCTGAATTTTGATGATTTTTCATCAAAGGCCTACAAAAGTAATTTCAGCGCTGACTTGCGGTTCTCTCGAGGCTTACGTCTTGCAGAAAAACTTCTACTGTTTGTGGTTAGTATGACTGTGTTCATCTCACCTCCTCATACAGCCTGTAGTTACGTGCCTTGTTGATGGCTGCATCCCACACCACCAACACCTACACACACACACACACACAACACGGGTTACTTCATTGAGAGACACACACAATGCTTCAAGGGCCACTCACCTTGGACTTTTTTGTCCCTGAGTTGCGGATGGCGTACAAGCCGTCAGGACAGACACCGCTCTCTAGAAAACACCTACGAAAAACATCACAGACAATCGTACACTTAATGTTTGTTTCAATTGTAAGTAACAGGAAGTCAAACAATTCCCGTAAGGTGGACGCTCAGTTTTACCTGAGATTGATCCAAGCGTTGGATCAAAACCACAGGTGTGTTTTAACTCACCCCAGAACCACATTTCAGCTCTTTGAACGTCTTCAACTCCCCCCCCCCCCCCCCTCAGGGGACTCTCTTTATACTCCATTCATTCCTATGGGATGATGTCAGTCAACTTTTTACCCTGCCCTCCCCATATGTGACCCTCCCAAAACTATTCTACTCTACTACTATCCGTTCCTATGGTTCAAGACCAGGCAGAAATATTCATCCATCCATCCATTTTCTTCCCCTTAATCCATTTCTGGGTCAGGGGTGTGGCAGTCAGAGCTGCACCCAGTACACAGAGCACCAGCCCCTCACTGATCCTCCTGCAGGTGGTGAGTCCACAGGGGCCTTGATCTTCAAGCGGGGGCTTCAGGCAAAGTGGGGTTAAGTGTTTTACCCAAGGCCACAACGACAGCAGTCATCAGTGGGAGTCATGAAGTAGGTCTTGCGGTGGGCTCGAACCCACGACCTTCAGGCCCAAAGGCCAATGCTCTACCAACTGAGCCTGCTGAGCACTTCTTCTATGAGCTGCTAAACGCCTTTTTTTTAAGGTCGCTCCATTTTTTTTCACCTGTAGGCATAAATTAATGAATTCTTACTATTGGCCCAATATATCAACTGTTTGATATAATATAGCGTATTTTTCTTCAAACGGGAATAAACTCACCTCTTCAGGAGTGCGTGTTGGAGGCCCCACTCTGTTTACAGATGCTGTCATCTCTTTCCATATTTTCTTTTTTGAGCCCCTTGATGCCACTTTTGAGGCTTCCAAATAGTAAGACTTTTTTTCCCACTTTGTTCATAATGGTCTCAATCTCCTGCTACGTAAAGTTATTTCTTCTTAGCCGTTTACTCACTAACCAGACCCTGCGCTACGTAATTACGCATGTTTTGCCTCATTCACCTCTGGCAAAGCAATGTGGGTTTTCCTTAGTTTTGTGCATTCATTTATTATTTATTTAGTGCGTACGCTCAAATCTGTGCGGATCTCACACGTTCATAAATGCCACGTCGGATCTTGCGTATCTGGAATCCACACCCAAAATGTACACCTGTTTCTGCGCAAGTTTCATAAATGAGGGCCAATGTTACCATGAATTTACACTTAAATGGACCAGACTGTTTTTCTGATGCAACTAATGTTACCCTAATTGAAAAACATAACATTTCAAGAGTCCTTTTATAACCTCATTTTGCGTCTGTGTCTGGTCCACTCTGGACTCTCACCTCTCCACGAAGCTGGTCTCTGTGGATTCGATGAACACAGAGTCTGGAAGCTGCACCTGAAACACACACCAGATGAAGCTTTGGAGCGCTATTCTCACACACACAAACGACATATAATGACAAAAGCACGTTATTTTTCCTCTAAGTACCAATGTGAAGTGTGTTTTGCATATGGGTGCTTGCCAAGCAGACTTACATTCTCGTAGTCATCGTCCTCGTCCGAGCAGTCCCCACTGGCTTTAGCGGAGTCCCACCTGCTCCTCAGATCCACCGGGAGCTCGTCAGCCGAGGCACGGAAGCTCTGTCCGTCTGGGGAAGCCCTTCTGACAACACATTTTGAGCATATAAGAACCAAGATCACCTGAAGAGTTTTGACTGATAATGTGAGTGTGGCATTACGGATGCCATCATAGTTTTTTAGAACAGTAGATGGCGCATCACCTCTTGTGCGTTCTCTGGCTTGTTTGGTGCATACCCACTTTTGATGAGGCATGTTTACATCCTTGCTGCTGTCCCAAGTAGCTTTTGTTCATTACTCTTTCCCCATGTACAGCCTTTAATGCTCAGCTTCTGTAAAGCTGTGTTCCCACCGCCGATGCATAGATATGCGTTCACTAAATATCAGCCGAATTAGTTTAGTCGGCCCTGCGTTGGGGAAAAACGCAGGGTGGAGGTGGTGGGCGAGCTTTGAAGCTAACGAGTTTAATAACCGGTATTTCCGGAAAAGCGAACACATTAGCAGCACTTGTTTACAGTCACAGTTGAATTGTCAACTCGGGGTGAAGATTCCCTATGTCAGCCCTGGTTTAATCCTGGTTTAGTTCATTTTTTGGGTGTTTGAGTTCATGCGTCTTCCTGTTTTTGACCTGGTCGCTCGGCTTGTATGTTTGGTTGTTGGTACTACATTTTAGAGATATTTCTACAGTTGGTGTGTAGTTTGGTCCTCATCAGACATGCTGTTTAGGTAGTGGCGCTGATGGCTTCGGACGTGCGGCTGGGTGGTGCTTCACTGTAGACCGTGTGAGTGTGGTCCTTGGTGGTCCTCTGAAGCTAAGGAGTCATTCCCTCCCTAGTGAAAACACCTTGAGGGAGCATGACCTACCTAAAGTGTTATGTCTGTTGTTCTGCCCCTACTTGCCAGCGTTCTAGCTGTATATGTAAATATGTGATTTTAAAATGTAATAACTTTTTTTTACGAACGGCCTGAGTGAACCGGTGTAACAGGCCATTTTATTCCCCCTGGCCAGTTTATACCCCGGACATAAAATAGCCTAGGCCAGAATATACCCCAGGGTACTTTGCTTTATAGTATAGAATAGATTATTTCATAAATCTGGCCTAGGCTACTTTATACCCGGGTATATTCTGGCGGGGAGTTAAACTGGCCTGGCGCACAACACTGCACAACCACCGCTGTCTTTTGACGCCGTCTTTTAACTGTTTTCCTGTTGTCTACATTCCAAGAATGCAAGTTTTTGAATCCTGTACTGTAACTAATTGACTTGAATAACGAGTGCAAACTACTCAGAAGAAAGTACAAAATAAGCTAAACTTGATGGGTAAAATGTTTTTAAATGGAACTTTTTGTCCTCACTCAATCCCCTTATCTGTGTCCTTATAGTTTTTTAAAACTATTTTAACATTTAAACATAATTTGAACCCTTGGTTTGTCACATCTGGTTTCTCCTATCACTAAAAACAGGAGCCATAGGGATGATCGTCCAGCTCCAGTCCTGACCAAGAGCATCAACATCTGGAGATGGGTCCCTGGTCGCTGTAGTGGGCAATTATTTTCTTCGGGAGGCAACATAGGAATATTTCCAAATTGTGCATGGCCGGACCCGTTTTCACGTGGTTAATTCCTTATCTAATTTAGCAGAAAGTGTCTTCAGTATTAAGTGTTTGCGGACATTTTATTTAGAGCAAATCATTACTAATAACATTTTGGGTTCAATAATTAGAAACAAATATAAATGTACAACGGCTGGGAAGGGTGAGAGGGCCTCACAGAAATGTGAATTGGGACGGAGGTGGTCCCCCAGGCTGCACTTTGCCCATGTCTGCCCTTATGGCATTGAGGAATGGGTCAAATGCAGAAGACAAATTTTCCTGTGTATAAATAAAGTACCTTAACCTATATTACCATAAATTCTATATAAGTGTGGCAAATCTATTGGCCTCTTTATTTTATTTAGGTACAGTGCATGTCCCTGGCATTGCGGGTGTCTGGTTCTTTACTGCGAATCAGCTTCCCATCCACGTTAAGGAAGCAGACACGGTCTCTATGTTCAAGGCCAGGCTTAAATCAGTTCTCTTCAATTTAGCATATGGTTAGGAAGGTGAGACTTGGGGAAGACTAAAAATCTTAGATTGTCAGTCAAGCTGCGTAGGGAGTCAGTTTGCTGGGAGAAGAATGGAAACTTGTAGCACTATCTTCTCCTTCCTTCTTTATCTGTCTACATTATTAGGATTTTGACTGTAGTCTGTTCATTAGTATTCACCCGTTGTCCCTTTGTCTGTTTCATGGCGCAACAATGGGACCCCTGAACCCGACCCCCTCCATCTGCACATGCGGACTGCCCTGCCCGGGTGGTCTGTGTGGAGCGGATCCCTCACTCAATGAGGACCTCCCTGAGGGTTTTCACTATTCTCCCACTGGGTTTTAGAGTTTTTGCTTGCCGATGCAGAAAGGTGTTTTAGACAGTTAGTGTCTGTAAGAAGGACTTTGGTGATGATCCAGGACACTCAACATTCTACAACATTTATGGGCATTTATCAACAATCATGGACAATGTCTCCCCCCTATGGACCAATACCTATGTGTTCTATATTATTTTTTTTTGATTCTCTGATCTTTGTTGGCGATTTCAACTATTTTGTTAAGTCCTCTGAGACAACTTAAGATTTAGGGCTATACAAGAAGCGAATTGAATTGAATTGAATTGAAGGGTGTTACATAGTAAAAGTTCCAAAAAGTTGTTCTGCCCCTCCTTTCAGAGGGGCAGAACAAGCTGGATTGGACTTACCCCCGAGAGCTGGCGGATATGGGCTTTCTGCACATGGGCATGGGCGGTTTGCAGGTCGGGGGAGGGGGCTTTGGTTTGGACTGGTGCGGCTGTCCTGGGAGCGATGGGCCAGGGCTTCTTTCTGGCTTAGGTTCTGGGCTGGTGAAAGTACTTAAGGAAAATCTCTGCGAGAGGCGCCATGATTGACTGTTTGCCGGCTTGGGGGTGGGGGTGGGGGTGAGGCTAGGGGCAGGACTGTGGGTGGGGCTACGTGGGCAATTGTGGGCGGGGCTCTGGGCTTGACTGCTCAGGTGTAGACTGGACTGGAGCTGATCGCAGACGACCCGTTGACTTTCTTGCACCGGTTGGAACACACTCCGTCGAGGGTTGGGGGGCGGAAGGGGTGGGGTCACGTGAGCAAAAGGGGCATTTCTTTGTAGCGTAGGGGGTGGGGGTTTGTGGGCAGCCGGGGGCAGGACTGGTGGGGGTTTCCTGGGTAAGGGGCTGGTGGGAATGCGATGCAGCGGTAAAGGAATGGGCGGAGGCTTGGAGTCTGGATGAAGCTGATTGGATGGAGCGAGCAGAGGAACAGGGGGAGGGGGGTATGCAGGCGGAGGCCCGACGGGTCGACCTGCATGCACAACAAACATTCAGAACAGGGCATGTAAATTAAAACAGCTCGACCTCAGCTGACAGAAAACGTACAGCTTTCATAAAGATCAGATGTTTTGGGGATTTTAATGTCCTTTGTCATCCTGAACTTTTTTTCTTTAAAAATCCATCGGTTTTCTTTAAATCCACACTTTACTGCCACAAACCCTGCTTGTTTCCTTCCTGCTCTGGCTCCGCTCTAACGCTGCTCTGATCAGCAACTCTGATTGGTCAAAGTGCGGCCGAGCCCCTCTGTGCACGTGCATGAAAGCCACACACGCGTATTTGGCGCAACGCATCATAGGAGATAATCCACTACACAGAACCGGGAGGACCAGACGATGCCCAAATATAGGCGACTTCCTCTAATCTTTCGGTCCCTGTGAAGTCCCATGCACTACTGAGCACATGATATTCATTGGATAATAGGGCACCATTTTGGATCACCGGGGCTTGGTTAAGAGTCACTTCCTAGTAGAAAACTACTACACAATTTAAAATCAACCAATCCACACTCCGTTTCTATCTTTGGGATCATCTGTTCAGCAATGGTACATTCATGTCTCCAACCCATGGATCTATGATAATAACTGGATAGGGTATTACTAGCTTATAGCTGTCCCACCCATGGGCACAGGGGGCGCCCCGTGGTACTGCAGACTAAATTCACGAGGGCTACCCAGAAAAAAGTCCCATAGAACTCAATGTATATTAAAACAGCACGACCTCAGCTGACAGAGAACCTACAGCTTTCATAAAGATTGGATTTTGTGGGGATTTTTTCTTAAATCCTTCAGTTTTCTTTAAATCCACACTTTACTGCCACAAACTCTGCTCCCTGCCTTCTCGCTCTGGCTCCGCTCTTCCGCTGCTCTGATGAGCAGCTCTGATTGGTCAGAGCGCGGCCGAGCCCCTTTGTGCGCGTGCATGAAAGCCACACACGCACGTTTGGTGCGACGCATGATGGGAGATATCTCCCATCATGTGTTGCGCTAATCCACTGCTCAGAACCGGGAGGACCAGACGATGCCCACATATAGGCGAGTTCAGCTAATCTCCCGGTCTCCATGAAGTCCCATGCACTACTGAGCACAAGCCATTCATTTGAATAGGCCGCCATCTTGGATCACCGGGGCTTGCTTCAACCTCCTTAAACATGGAATAATAGAAAACTGAAAAGTTGGGCCTGCACAAGTATTAAACCTGTGGAACCACCTTTTGTTGCAATAACAGTAGCAAGTCTTTTGGCGTATGACTCTACAAGATCACATCTAGAGACAGAAAGTTTAGCCCATTCCTCTTTACAAAACAAGCTCTGTCAAATTATATGGAAGCAGCATTTGCAAAGCAGTTTTCAGTTCTCTCCACAGATTTTCTCTTGGACTTAGGTCTGGATTTTGACTGGGCCATTATAACACATGGCAACATCTGGAGTTGGGTCCCTGGCCGCTGTTGTGTAAAACCATTCCATTGTAGATTTAGCTTTAAAGCTGCACTAACTGACTTTATTTTCGTATTAATTACGAAAATGCTATCCATGTCCATGTAGTGCATTGGGATATACGTCCTTTTGAAGAAAAAGTAGCGCAGATTTGTGCTGGCCTGACATTATATTTTCGATCGAGTTTTGATGAAACAAGGAAGAGAATGTGTTTCGGGTCGCAGATTGTGACCAATCACAGCGCACCACTAGCCCCCACTTTCGTGAGAAATCTCCAGGTCCGTTAGCACAGACAGCTGAGTTAGCACAACAAGCGGCGGAGCTAACCTGAAACTTTCTCGTCTTCGTCACCAGTTACTGCTTACACAGCGAAACAGCCATCCAAAAGAAAGTCTCGTTCCTCCGCGCTTCCCGGTTCTATCGTTCTATGGTCACGCCATCCACGTGAAAATCCACATCCATGTATTATCCATATTGGGAGAGGCTAGCTCCGTCTCAACACTGTGTGTGTGTGGGGGGCGATAGCTTCGTGGGTGCGGGGAGGGGAGCAGAAAGAGCGAGGCCAGCGAGTCCGCGGCTCCAAAATCCCAAAGTCAGTTAGTGCAGCTTTAAGGGTCATACAAACACCTCACAAATAGTAAAAAAAAAAAAAAAAAACTGGGTAATATCAATATTTGATCAAAAGTGTATTAAAAAAAAAAAAATAACGGGGCAATTTCTTTTCAAAATATTTTATGTTTGTGTTAAATCATATCAAATTGAAAGTTCCCTGTATCTAGATACATATTTTATCAGCAGGCTCTGAAAAACACCCAGCCCTACTGATTCCTCATAACTAACTCCACTCAGAACATCCAAACCCTGTTGCTTACGTTGATTGTCCCCCTATTCAATTGTCTTTCTGTTTTGTGTAAATATGAATGCAAAAAAAAAGGAACAAAAGAATAGCTAACTTTACAAGCATTTTTACTTTCAGATTAACAGGACATGACAAATCGTACTTGTCGTACGGTACAGGTCAACATTAGCCTGACTCTCGCCAGACCCTTGTAGCTCGCTGCGGTTCACAGAAGGGTTTGGGTCTCCATGGCATATGAATTTCAGAAGGCGGGCCCTTGTAAAAAAAGCCTTGTATGATAAACCACTTGTTTGTTATCTTGAATGACATCGAAGCACACAATTCAGCACACTGCATTGCAGGATTGCCAAATGCCGGAAAGATTTTCCAGCCCAAAACCCGTGAGAATGCCCCCTAAAAAAAACACCCAGAATGATTTGTTGGCTAAAAACTTAATGCAATCAACTTGGGCTATCATGATTCTGTTTTTGTCTTTCTGTCTATTTATTAACTACAAGTTGCTTGGAAAAAAAAGCATGCAGAAAACCACCCAACCTGGCAACCCTGCTGCGTAGTGTTGTGATTAGCACTTAAACAGTACTTAAACCAAACTTTACACAAACATTTTACACTTCAAACACACATATAACAACATAGAACCAACATCTCGCCTCAAATTGCATTAAAAGTTACATTGGTGTCTCAATTCGTTCGTATATAAAGGTTTTTTTAAATTCATGAACTTTATGTCCGCCTTCTTGGTTTGATTTGGCTGAGATGCACAAGAAAGCGGTGCAAACCCGACATAACACCAGCGATCCTGATTGGCCGATTATCTTTTTATCTCCTGAAGGAGTTCGCAATGCACTCGATCCCAGACCCTTGTGTTCAGCAAAACGCCTCTTGTGGAGCATGGCGGAACTACAAGAGTCAAGCTAGTTCAACAAATACATAGTTTTCCATCACGTGCTTATTACCCATGATGCTTTGTGCGAAAGGCATTTTGGGAGTCAAGCTTATATTACACGTATCATTTGTCACTGATAATTTGTCACGGATCATCTGTACCCATGTCATCTAAAGCCACAAATTCGGCCGACACTTACCGCGTTAAGTATATTGATACACTGGAGTAATCTGTGAGGCAAGATCCTTGGAGTATCGGGAGATTTGGATCCATATGAAACACGACGAGACCAGTGGACTTCCCAGAAATGGCTTACTCTCACTTAACAGTTTTACAATTAAAAAAAACGTCATGATGCTCCCCCCTGGACTGCCACCTTAACGTGTTGGGGGAGTTTGAGTACTCGGATGATCCTGGGAGCTATGCTGTCTGGGGCTTCATACTCCTGGTAGGGTCTCCAATGGCAGACAGGTCTCAGGTGACGAAGCCATCATGGACAGCACAATAAGGACAACAGTGACGTCGCCCGGCATGGCGCAGCCGGGGCCCCACCCTGGAGCCAGGCCTGGGGTTGGGGCTCGCAAGCGAGCGCCTGGTGGCCGGGCCTTAGCCCACGGGGTCCGGCCGGGCTCAGCCCGAAGGGATGGTGTGGGCAGTCCCTCCTGTGGACCCACCACCTGCAGAGGGGTCCGTGGTGGCGCGGTGCAGAGAGGACTGGGTGGCAGTCGAAGGCAGAGACCTCGGCGACCCAGTCCGCACACCCAACATCTGGCTCTAGGGACGTGGAACGTCACCTCACTGGGGGGAAAGGAGCCCGAGCTTGTGAGGGAGGTTAAGCGTTACCGACTAGAGATAGTCGGCCTCACCTCCACACACAGCTTGGGCCCTGGAACCCAACTCCTTGAGAGGGGTTGGACGCTCCACTTTTCTGGTGTTTCCTGCGGGGAGAGGCGGCGAGCGGGGGTGGCCGTTCTCATAGCCCCCCATCTCAGCCGCCACGTGTTGGAGTTCTCCCCGGTGAATGAGAGGGTCGCGTCCCTCCGCCTCCGGGTGGGGGTCAAGTCTCTCACTGATGTGACGGCCTATGGGCCTAACAGCAGTGCAGAGTACCCGGCCTTCTTGGAGTCCTTGGGAGGTGTACTGGACAGTGCACCGCCCGGGGACTCCGTTATTCTCCTGGGGGATTTCAACGCCCATGTGGGAAATGCCAGTGACCAGGACACCCTAGGCCGGAGGTCGATGATCAACTTTGTTGTTGTATCATCTGACCTTCGACCGCGTGTCTCGGACACTCGGGTGAAGAGAGGGGCGGAGTTGTCAACCGATCACCACCTGGTCGTGAGTTGGTCTTCCCGCTGGCAGGGGAGGAAGCCGGTCAGACATGGCAGACCCAAGCGTGTAGTGAGGGTCTGCTGGGAACGTCTCGCTGATCCCCCTGTCAGATGGACTTTCAACTCACACCTCCGGGAGAGCTTCTTCCAGGTCCCGGCGGAGGAGGGGGACATCGAGTCTGAGTGGACCATGTTCTCTTCCTCTATCGCCGATGCGGTGGCCTGTAGCTGTGGTCGCAAGGTCTCTGGTGCTGGTCCCGGCGGCAACCCCCGAACCCGGTGGTGGACACTGGCAGTAAGGGATGCCGTCAGGCTGAAGGAGTCCTATCGAGCCATGATGGTTCGGGGGACTCCTGAGGCAGCTGTCCAGTACCGGCAAGCCAAGCGTGCCGCGGCTCGGGCTGTTGCAGAGGCAAAAACCCGGGACCGGGAGGAGTTCGGAGAGTCCATGGAGCATGACTGTCGGTCGGCCTCAAAGAGATACTGGCAAACCATCCGGCGCCTCAGGAGGCAGAGGCTGAGGATGTTGGGGCGGATACTTCTATCTCCCTGGCAGAGGTCACCAAGGTGGTTAGCAGCCTCCATGGTGGAGAAGGGGGATCGGAGGGTGTGTTCCAATTATCGTGGGATCACACTCCTCAGCCTCCCCGGTAAGGTCTACTCCAAGGTACTGGAGAGGAGGCTACGGCCGATGGTCAAATCTTGGATTCTGTTGGCTCCAACAAACCAGGACCTGCAACATGCACTGGGACGGTTTGCAGCCGAGTGTGAAGCGGCTGGGATGAGAATCAGCACCTCCAAATCTGAGGGTTAGGGTTAGGGTTAGGGTTAGGGTCTGAGGCCATGGTGCTCGACCGGAAAAAGGTGCTTTGCCCTCTCCAGCTGGGAGGAGAGGTCCTTCCTCAAGTGGAGGAGTTCAAGTATCTCGGGGTCTTGTTCTCATGGAGCGTGAGAATGACAGGCGGATCGGTGCAGCTTGCGCAGTGATGCAAGAGGCAGCTGAGCCGAAAGGCAAAGCTATCGATTTACCGGTCAATCTTCGTTCCCTCCCTCACCTGTGGTCATGAGCTGTGGGTAATGACCGAAAGAACGAGATCGCGGATACAAGCGGTCGAAATGAGCTTCCTCCGCCGGCTGGGCGCTCCCTTAGAGATAGGGTGAGGAGCTCAGTCACACGGGAGGAGCTCGGATTAGAGCCGCTGCTTCTCAGCCACTGAGGCCCCGGGGAAGACCCAGGACACGCTGGAGGGACTATGTCTCTCAGCTGGCCTGGGAACGCCTTGGGGTCCCCCCGGATGAGCGGGAGGAAGTGTGTGTCGATAGGGAAGTCTGGGCGTCTCTGCTTAGACTGCTGCCCCCGCGACCCGGCAACGGATGAAGTGGAAGAAAATGGATGGATGTATATGATGCAATATTTCTTTCAATCAATATTTTATTTTGAACGAAGCAGTTGACATCCCAGGCCGTAAATCACTTCTGTCTACCACCCTTCCCCCCCTCCTACTCCTCCCCCTCTCATTCATTTAGATGGGAGCCTCGAGGCGCCTATATAAACATAGTATCACAGTCAAATCGCAGCTCTGAATATAAACCACACATGCACAGATTTAGCTAGCTCTTACCTGTTGAAATGGTCAGAACAGACCTTATAGTGCCGTTTTTCGGGGGTTAGGGTGGAATCCCTCTGGTTGATCCTTGCCAACTAAAGGGTCAATTTCTCCGTCCCGAGTCACTCCCCTGGCTCGTAATAGCCTTCGGAATGTCTCTACAATCTACGCGGTTACTGCACCCCCAAACGATGCAGGCAGTCGGCATGTTTTAGCGCAAAAAAGTGATTTGGCCGATTTGGTTAGCTACAACTATCTGCGGCTAGCCTCCAAAATGGTGAACTGCGGAATTGTGGATAGTGCGGAAGTCAGTGGAAAACTATCTATCCTTCCAAAAAAAAAAAATATGTTAGATTTAAAAAAAATAATTCATCACTGTAAACGATTGGTTGAATTCACATTTATTACAGCTTTTTGACAGCTCACATCAGCAGTGCAGTGACAGTCAGACAGACAGAACAACAAACGTGATCATTATACTTTTGTATTCTCTTTTTATGTTGGGATGTTTTTCAGTTTCTACCAATAATTATCAACTTCACAGCCATTAAAGGAGTCCCGAGCAGCACAGGTGGAGGGATTCAATTCACTACAAGTCTGGAGTGCCATGGCGTTTGTCAATGCAGATTCTCGTTTCCCCCTTTTCATAGTTTTAAAGTTATTTTTCATGATAGTCTAGAAACCTGTCAATCTGTACGTTAGGTGTTTGAGAAAGCTCTGCAGAGGTGTTCTTACCAGTGTTAGTTGGCGGACTGTCTGGCTTCAAATAGTCCTCTTCATCTTCATCTTCATCCTCCTCCATGTAATCTAAACACAAGCTTGTGTCATGCTGCTGTGTGTGTCTGTGTGTGAGAAACTGAGAAACTATAAGCGCACTCATGGAGCATCACACAGTTTAAAAAAATGTCCATGTGTGCCTGTGTCCTCCTCTGTTCTTCTGCTCCAAATGGAGCAAACGTATGACTGAAGCCAATGAAGAGGCGCCACCATGTGTACACCAGCACACATGTAAACATGTTCATTCCATATCACACAATTTGAAATAAGAGCTGCAACAACTAAAAGGAACAGCTACATCCAGACGGGGATTCAGATAAACTCCGAATATGAATCAGTTGTTCACTGGGCCATTGCACAATACTGTGAGATTGTGCTCGGGCAAACAAACAGACAAACGTTGTTGATCACTTTACCTCTTGTCCTGGATGGAGGTACATATATTCAATTAAACCCTTTATATGTTTAGTGGAGGGTTTGTGTGTGTGTGTGTGTGTGTGTTGCGCACATGTGAATGAGTGTTCATACCATTGTCTGGGTCATCGTTAGGATGGCTGATGACCAAAGGTCTCTCGATGGTCCCATAGAAACTGTCTGCATCAGAGTCTGTGTCACTGCTGGGATAAAAACATGTGTGTCATGGCGGACGAGGCCTTTGAAACTATACATAGCATACCGGTTTACCGGTTTGATTCTCCCTCCTCCCCGCCCCCACCTCTTCACACGTCTCCAGCCCAGTGGACACCGCCCAGTGGACACTGCCTTCGGCTGCCCCGGCCCTCCAGCCCCCACATCCCCAGCCCCCACCTCTGACAGTACGACCCCCCCCCCCCTCCCCTCCCCCCCTCCCCCCCTCCCTCTCTATCACACCGGACCAGGTGAGGAGTCAGCTCAAGCGACTGAAGCAGAGGAAATCTGCAGGACCGGACGGAATCAGACGCCGTCATCTACTTACTGCAGCGGAAGCTCTCCCACCTGGAGCCCGCCAGGGAGCGCTGTGAGGGTAATGTTTTTTGACTTCTCCAGCGCTTTCAACACTATCAGACTGGCACTGCTGTGGGGGAAGACGCGGGAGTGGACAGTAACCTCACTGCATGGACCATCGACTACCTCTTGGACCGATCACAGTACGTGTCGCTGCACGGCTGTGAGTCTGAGGTGGTAGTCTGCAGTACTGGGGCCCCTCAGGGCACTGTCCCCCGTTTCTTTTCACCATCTACACTTCAGACTTCACATACGACACACACAGCTGTCACCTGCAGAAGTTCTGAAGAACTGGTGTGAGTGCAACTACTTGGGCTTGAACACCAGTAAGACCAAGGAGATGGTAATCGACTTCAGGAGAAAACCACTTTCCCACACGCTGCTGAACATCCAGGGGGAGGACATTGAGCTGGTGGACAGCTTCAAGTACCTGGGTGTTCACATACAACAATAAACTGGACTGGTCCCATAACACCAACGCCCTGTACAAGAAGAGCCAAAGTCGCCTCTTCCTTCTGAGGAGGCTGAGGTCCTTCGGAGTGAGCAGGCCTCTGCTCAGGACTTTTTATGACTCTGTGGTAGCCTCTGCCATACATTACGCTGCCCCAGGCAGCACAGAGCGGGACAGGAGTAGACTGAACAAGCTGGTCAGGAGGGCCAGCTCCACTCTGGGCTGCTCCCTGGACTCTGTGGAGGAGGTGAGGGACAGGAGGGTGCTAACAAAAGTCACCTCCATCATGGACAACACCTCCCACCCACAGGAGCTGAGGAGCTCCTTCAGTGCAAGGAGCGCAATTGCAGGGCCTTTATCCCCACTGCTGTCAGACTGTACAATAAGTCACTTTAGTCACTTGCATTAGGACTGAAAAACCTGCACGACTATTGACACTGTTTCTTGAATGCCACTTTTTAATTGCCACTTTTTATTGTACATAATATATCCTGCATTTAACATGTTTGCACATTTCTTTCTTTTGCACAATCTTGAGTGATTCTATCCATGCCAGATGTGACATGTACATTTCTCCTGTGTGAGATCAATAAAGTCTATATTATCTTATCTTATAATGTATGAACTGCTTAAACTAAACTGCTCTTTATTTCCCCTCAATGAATTTCAACTTGATAACAGTCTTGCAGTCCAGTTTAAGCAACAGCAGTGTTGTGGCAGTTCACAGCTTTTCTGAACTTGTGCAAGTTCAGCTCATACATGCTCAAAGTGAGCAGTTCACGTTCAAAGTTCACAATTTTATTTCTGAACTAGTTCAAAGTTCCGTTAATTTTAATTTTCAGATATTCAAATAAATACTTTTTTCACACGAGCTAGAAATCAAATATATATATATATATGTATATATATATATATTAGTATAGACCAAAAGTTTGGACACACTACTCAGTCAATGAGTGTCCTTTCTTTTCATGACTATTGATTGTAGATTCACACCCAGGCTGTGTAAGGGCTGTTTGACTAATAAGGAGAGTGGTGGGTGCTGGGCCAGATGACCCGGCCTCCACAGTAACTGGACCACAGAGTGAATGCGAAAGGGCCAACAAGAGCTAAGCATCTGTGGGAACTCGGACCATTTCAGGTCACTACCTCTTGAAGCTCATCAAGAGAAGATCAAGAGTGTGCGAAGCAGTGATCAGAGCAAAAGGTTCTACTTTGAAGAACCTAGAATATAACACATATTTTCAGTTGTTTCATAATTTTTTTTTAGTATGTACATAATTCCACATGAGTTAATTAATAGTGTTGATGCCTTCAGTGTGAATCTACAATTTTCATAATCATGAAAATCAAAAACTCTTTGAATGAGAAGGTGAGTCTCTACTCGGTAGAGTATATATATATATATATATATATATATATATATATATATATATATATAAGGCAGTGGCGTTCCAAGGGTACCCCCTTGGACCACATAACCATCCATCCCATCCATCCATTTTCTTCCGCTTTATCCGTTGCCGGGTCGCGGGGGCAGCAGTCTAAGCAGAGACGCCCAGACTTCCCTATCCACACACACTTCCTCCAGCTCGTCCGGGGGGACTCCAAGGCGTTCCAAGGCCAGCTGGGAGACATAGTCCCTCCAGCGTGTCCTAGGTCTTCCCTGGGGCCTCCTCCCAGTGGGACGCGCGGAACACCTCCCGAAGGAGGCGTCCAGGAGGCATCCGGAACAGATGCCCGAGCCACCTCAACTGGTTCCTCTCGACGTGGAGAAGCAGCGGCCCTACTCCGAGCTCCTCCCGTGTGACTGAGCTCCTCACCCTATCTATAAGGGAGCGCCCAGCCACTCTGCGGAGGAAGCTCATTTCGACCGCTTGTATCCGCGATCTCGTTCTTTTGGTCATTACCCAAAGCTCATGACCATAGGTGAGGGAGGGAACGAAGATTCACCGGTAAATCGAGAGCTTTGCCTTTCGGCTCAGCTCCCTCTTTACCACAACGGTCCGATACAGCGACCGCATCACTGCGCACGCTGAACCGATCCGCCTGTCAATCTCACGCTCCATTCTTCCCTCACTGTGAACAGGACCCCGAGATACTTGAACTCCTCCACTTGGGGAAGGACCTCTCCACCCACCTGTAGAGGGCAAGGCACCTTTTTCCGGTCGAGCACCATGGCCTCCGATTTGGAGGTGCTGATTCTCATCCCAGCCGCTTCACACTTGGCTGCAAACCGCCCCAGTGCATGCTGCAGGTCCTGGTTCGTTGGAACCAACAGGACAACATGGTCTGCAAACAGCAGAGATGAAATCCTTTGGTCTCCGAACCGGACCCCCTCCGGCCCCTGGCTGCGCCTAGAAATTCTGTCCATAAACACAGTGAACAGAACCGGTGACAAAGGGCAGCCCTGTCGGAGGCCAACATTCACCGGGAACAGGTCTGACTTACTGCCGGCAATGCGAACACAGCTCTGGCTCCGGTTATACAGGGATCGGATGGCCCTCAGCAGAAGACCCCCGACCCCGTACTCCTGGAGAACCCCCCAAAGGACACCCCGGGGAACTCAGTCGAACGCCTTCTCCAAATCCACAAAGCACATGTGGACAGGTTGGGCGAACTCCCATGAACCCTCGAGTATCCGATGGAGAGAATAGAGCTGGTCCAGTGTTCCGCGACCGGGACGAAAACCACACGGCTCCTCCTGAATCCGAGATTCGACCATCGGCCGTAGCCTCCTCTCCAGTACCTTGGAGTAGACCTTACCGGGGAGGCTGAGGAGTGTGATCCCACGATAATTGGAACACACCCTCCGGTCCCCCGTCTTGTAGAGAGGGACCACCACCCCGGTCTGCCACTCCATTGGCACTGCCCCCGATCGCCACGCGATGTTGCAGAGACGTGTCAGCCAAGACAGTCCTACAACATCCAGAGACTTTAGATAATCAGGGCGGATCTCATCCACACCCGGAGCCTTGCCACCATGGAGGCTACCAACCACCTTGGTGACCTCAGCCAGGGAGATGGATGTATCCGCCCCAACATCCTTAGCCTCTGCCTCTGTAACGGAGGACGTGACGGGGGGATTGAGGAGAACCTCGAAGTATTCCTTCCACCGCCCGACAATATCCCCAGTCGAGGTCAGCAGCTCTCCACCCCCCTCCTGAGGCGCCGGATGGTTTGCCAGAATCTCTTCGAGGCCAACCGATAGTCATGCTCCATGGACTCCGAACTCCTCCCAGTCCCGGGTTTTTGCCTCTGCAACGGCCCGGGCCGCGGCACGCTTGGCCTGCCGGTACTGGACAGCTGCCTCAGGAGTCCCCCGAACCATCATGGCTCGATAGGACTCCTTCTTCAGCCTGACAGCATCCCTTACTGCCGGTGTCCACCCGGAGGCGGAGGGACGCAACCCTCTCATTCACCGGGGAGAACTCCAACACGTGGCGGCTGAGATGGGGGGCAATGAGAATGGCCACCCCAGCTCGCTGCCTCTTCCCGCGGGAAACACCAGAAAAGTGGAGCGTCCAACCCCTCTCAAGGAGTTGGGTTCCAGAGCCCAAGCTGTGTGTGGAGGTGAGGCCGACTATCTCTACTCGGTATCGCTCAACCTCCCCCACGAGCTCGGGCTCCTTCCCCCCCAGTGAGGTGACGTTCCACGTCCCAAGGACCACATATATACTGTGACTATATAAACACCGAGGACCAAATGAAAGATTAGATTTTAGGATTACAAAATCTGGACCACATAACCAGATTTTGTAATCCTACAAACTAATCTTTCATTTGGTCCTCGGTGTTTATATAGTCCCAGTATATAAACACTGAGGGCCAAATGAAAGATTAGGCTCTTAGCTTTAATCTGCAAAAAATGGCTTTTTTTTTACCTTTTATTGTTCTTGAGCTATCTGTCATAGAATATAATATATATAGTTTAATCCAAAACATACTTCTCACTTGGATTTGAACTTGGGTCGTCGCTGCAAGTGCAATGCAACTTAACAACAAGACCACTATGACATACTACACTTCTCTGACTCCAGGAAGGGATTTTAACTGTTAATGAAGAAGTGGCAAGTTTTGTATCAGACAAGAAGTTTTCCGCCAACACGTCACTGCAGGTAACTGTTGTAGCCTGTACAAGTCAACCGCTTGTGTCAAATCAGTCGGCCCTCGGGAGCCCCCCTGCCGGTTTGGGGGCCCCAGGCAGCTGCCTGCCTTGACTAATGACAAGGGACACCTCTGGGCAGTGGTCACCCAGGCTACCCCTCTGGCTCCGCCACTGGTCTGGTGATACATGATTTAAGCGGCACCAGCGAGTAAACAGGAGGGAGGGACTTTCTCTCGTTGCGTTTCAAAAGAGAAATCAGATGTCACTCAGTTTTCAATGGAAAACAAATTCCAACATTCATTTACAGTGATGTCTGCTGTTCATGACACATAATGTGAACTAATTCACGTTCAAGTTCTTTTTTTAAAAATGTGCCGCGTTCAGTCCAACATTCACGAAACATTTTTGAACTCGTGCGGCCACTTTGTTTTGCTGGCGGTAGAGGACACTGTTAACTATATTGATTATCTGTGTAAACCTCTGCTCAAGGGCATTCACGGTGCCACAGTGTTTTTTTCATCTTTCCTGAAATCATATGTGGTGTTACAAGTTTCCTGGCCGTTAAGTCTGCTCTCTTAGCACATTTATTAGTTATAAAACACACTGCATGTTTGTATTGGGCATTGGTTGACCTGTTTTTGTTCAAAAACAAGCCTGTGTCTACTGGTCTCTTAGGACACTGGTTCCCAAAGTAGGGGGGGGTCGCATAAAAAAATAAAATAAAGTGGAACATATATATAGCCCTTAAATATTTTTGTTGCAATGGATTGGATTCAATTAAAAATAATGATTTATATTTTAATTAAATTGGTAATTTTGGTGCAGCAACAAAACGTGTCCTGCTGTTGTTTGCTAAAGCTAAAGGTGTTTGGAGGCTACTACTTAATAATACCTACTTTAAATTTAAACGTGGTTAATATCCACAACAGAAAAACCCGGAGGGGGAGAAAGGACACGTGTGCCAGAGGTTAGGCCGATGGGGCGAAGGCCGATGCTGTCTCTTTATCTCTGTGAGTGAAAAGGAGTGTACGGGCCAGAGAACAAATACATGCTTTACATTTCATTCGGCGGGAAGGGCTGTTGAGGTGGGGTGGGGGTAACCTGGTCTTACCACATCATCGTACAAATTACACTTCGTACTAAGGTCTGGATTTGCTCCATTGAGGTATGTTTACAGGTGGGAGTGGTTAACTTCTTTTGCAGATTGGATTATGTAATGGTCAGCACTAGATCATATACGGAATCAGGACGGAAGCGGAAGTAAATATAACCACCTACCTATTCATGCCTAAACTTAACCAGCCATAACCCTAACCCTAACCCTAACCCTAACCCTAACCCCAACCTACCCCTAACCAGGACCCCAGAAGGTCCTGGGTTCGAATCCCGGCCGGACCAGGGCCTTTCTGAGTGGAGTTTGCATGTTCTCCCCGTGTCTGCGTAGGTTTCCTCCGGGTACTCTGGTTTCCCCTACCACTAAAAATATGTACAATATGTCTGGCATGCGCCTCCTGTTCGGCGACCCCGCTCCGATCTCTGTGAGGAGTGAGAGGACAAGTGCTCAAAAAATAACAATTGTAAACCGCTTTGTGACTCTGGTCTGTGAAAGGCGGTATATAAATAAAGCTTACTTACTTACTTACTTACTAACCTTAACCATCTTACTCAGACACCTAAAACTTAACCAGTCACCACTTTAGGTTTTATTGGTCTAAAACTAATTCGAAAGTAGGATTGTTACATCCTCTTACGTCCCGATTCCGTATATGATCTAGTGCCGACCATTATGTAATGCTCTGGAGTGAGTCACTAGCATTTAGCAATTAGCCTAGCCATCATCTTTGCAACTAATGGAGCCCGTGGGGAGTAGCGCCACAATCTTTGCCAGCAATTACATTTGCTAAACATTCCTCTTGCTCCTCACGTCCTGCGCCCTCCATCCTCTTCAATCCCATAGTCCACTATATAAGAACATGCCCCGCCCTCTTCACACCTTCACTTCACCGTTTAAGGACATTCCCTGCCCCAACTCAGCTGCCTCCTCTTCTTATTTTAAACACATGAAATAAATGCTTTATCATTATCTAGAGAGTTTGGAAGATCTATTTTAAGACTGAACTAACTTGAGGAAATGGGTGGAGTCTGCTCTGCTTGGTCTGATACAAAACTTCCAGCCACACCAGAAGTTTCTGGACCAGTTTGAAGACCTCTGCTTTACATTATGGCTTTGTGCCTCTGAGATGTGCATGCAGGTGTGAGTGCACAGGTGTGAGTGCCCTCATTCTGCTAATGTGTACTGATGAATACATGAGTACATGACTGATGTTTGTATATGTGGTTTTAATCCTACTGTTTTTTTAATGATTTTACTGTTTTACTGAGAATTTGCTTTAATTAGTCTTTTATTATTATTGTGCAGTACTTTGGAAACTGTGTTTATGAAATGTGCTTTATAAATGAAATGATTGGATTAGATTAGATATATTATTTTCACTAGAATATATATATATATAAATACAGTATTTTGTACTTCATCATGCTAAAGTTGGAGATTTTACACTTCTTATTATGCTGAAGATAGAGTTATACTGCTTCTGTTTTTGAAATAGTTAGACATTCTATTTCATTTTATTTTAGTATAGTTATCCATTTATCTTATGTTGTGTGCTCGTCATTCCTACTGTCTGTAACTGGTGATGCAACACTGACATTTCCTCACTGTGGGACAAATAAAGGTTTTCTTAATCTCAAGGATGTGTCCCAGGGTTCAGTGTGTGCGTGTGCGTGTGTCTGTGTGTGCACCTCACCTTGTCGTGTGCGTCTCCTGCCGGTCGTTGTAGTGGTCAATCTCCTTGCGCATGTGCCTCATCCAGCTCTGCAACAGCGCACTGTCAGACCACAGCTTCTCATGCACTTTCAATATACTCGTCCTTTTAAGTGTGTGACATGGTATCTATGCAATTTCATACAATTCAAGTATTTTCAAACCATTCTATTCCACAAATTCTATTATGATCTGAATGTACCCTTCGCTCGTCTTCGCTAGCCGCAGAGAACAGCCAGGTGCGGTGCTTCCTGCTGAAGTGGACGATTTTAAAAGGGAACACGTTACTGGATGTGGTCTCCTCAGCTGCTCGCATCACTCTGTAGCACAGCAGAATGACAAGAAAACCTTATTCTTTGTGACATTTAGAGCTGAAAGAACACTGGACACTGACACTGGGGCCTGAGGCGAGTCCAAAAGCCAGTCCGTTTCAAACACATCCGGCTTGCATTCAAATATGTGCATTCCATCAGATTAACTGAGCTGAATGACTCGTCAGGATGGAACATTGAGTATGTTTACAACGCAATAGGCATCAAAGCCTCATATGGCTCCTCCTAGTATGCCAACAATAACAAGTGATCTAATATGATAAAGAAATGCAGGGGTGTTGTGATTACAAAATTAGAAAATGTGAGTATTTATTAAAGGGTAATAAAGTTGCACCTAGCTTGGCCTTAGCCATCCGTAAACTCCGGTCAATTATCATTTCCCTTCATGTAACGTCTGGGTCTAGTCCTAGCATTTGCAATTACATCGGTTGAATTCCATCCGACCAATCAGCGAGTGCTGGAGGCCGGTGTTGTCGGTAGATGTGGGTGACGACAAAAGTTTGGCACTGGCGAAGAATGCGATTGTAAAGTAATCCGTACTGGTTCTATCAAGAAATTGAGGCCAGAGCAAGAGGAACGTTTAGCAAATGTAATTGCTGGCAAAGATTGTGGCTCTACTCCCAACGGGCATTGTTAGTGGCAAATGAGATGTCTAGGCTAAATGCTAAATACCAGTGACTCACTCAGGTGTGTTACATATCAATCCCATCCAATCGTTTCAATCTGCAAAAGGAGTGAACCCCTCCCACCTGTTGACGGAGCTCAATGGAGCAAATCCAAACCTAGTAATGTAATTTGTACATTACTAGGTATGACCAGGCTAGGTTTTTTTCTTTCAGTTATTTCGTTTTTTCATTTTTCTTTAATTTGATCAATTTACCCACTTTACCACTCTTAACCGGTGTCCGTTGGGCATGGATCATGTGATCAGGACAGGCCGCAGTTGTGCTCTGCAAGATATATGCAGCAGTCTACGGTGATTGTTGCCCCGCTTTTTAATGTTGCAATAGTCAATCGAAGTGATAGTTGAATAGAAACGCTACTTTTTTGCGAGACAGAATTTTCTGCACTTTTCTGAACAATGCATGTTTTTTTATTAGATGTAGGTGTGTGTGCATATAAATGTGTAGGCAAGGGCGTAGGGTTTGAGTGGGGACATTGGGGACATGTCCCCACCAATATTTTGCAAGGACTAAAATCCTCACCTAATATAAGAGGATTTCTCGGGCCGAATCCTCCATGTCCAATATATTTATATGCAGCGCCTCCTCCTTGTTTCTAGAACAGCAGATGACCTGCTCATCTCTGCACAGTGATTGGCTGTCTTCCTCATTTGTGCCTGGAGCTCATACGTGCACTTGTTGTTAACATAGCGAGAAGCCAAATTCTACGAGTAACAAGCTACTGTTTACCTTCTAAAAGTAAAGTCCGACTGACACTGTAGCCATTGTCAAGAAACATGTTATATGTTTTTTTCAGTGAATCGTAAAATGTGAGTAGACAAGAAAGGTAGGCCAAGGTTTCCGCCAGAAAATATCAGTATCATCACCACTCAGTTTTGCACATGCTTATACATAGTTCCCACAGACCAATGAATGTCACATGACCTCCTCGGAGACGCCATCTTTGATGGCACGCTGCTGTGTTTGTGCATTCCATTAAACAGAAGAATGAGAATAAATGTAGATATTCAAACGCAAATTGGAAAAAAAGGGCAACTTTTGAGCAAATAATTGTATATTAATACAATGGCACCACAGTTTAACGTGCTATGGACATGTTTTACATATTTGATCAAATTATGCAGCAAAAATTAACAAGCAATGCAAACATTTCTCAAAAACTTTAGATTTAATACCAGTTGGAGCTCCATTTAATTATTTTAATTATATTAACAATTAATTTAATTAATGCTAATGCCACACGGACACTCTGGATTGCTGTTATTGTTTATTTCCGCGTTTTTGACCGTATGTTTTGGTGAATGGTAGGCAACTGATTTTTCCAGGCGTAAAGAGCAGTTTATTTTATGACACAGATCTTTTTACAGAAGCAATGCTGTTTGTGAACATTGTTTTAGCCCACCATAGAACTATTATTATCTATTTAATACATTTACGTTTCCCTCGAGAGCCTCGGACGCGACACCGATCCTCCTCATAATAAAGTAATCTAAATAATGAAACTCTCAAGTTACCAGATATCAGCATACACAAGTTAGTACTGAGTAAATTACGTCTGTCAACACATTATAAGATACGATACGCATACGTATGTAGTGACGTCATGTGGGAACTATGTATAGTTCAGTGGTTAGAATTGGGTGCCCCCAGTTTGGCAGCCAGAGTTTGATTCCAGGTCAGGCCATGAATATTTTTAAATGAATAAAAAAATTGTGTCCCCACCAAAGTTGAAACCAAACCTACTCCATTGTGTGTAAGTATGCATGTATTTTCATGTGTGTTTGTATCGGGACTCACCTGTTGTAGCCGTTGAGAGAGAAGGCCCCCTGGGGAGCAGCAGAAGTACTGCTCTTGAAGTAGTACACACAGCCTTTGTGGATGATGATGTAGCGAAGCGGCCCTGAGAGAAAATCACACCATTAGCTCGTGATCAGTCCTGGTTTAGTCCTAGTCCAGTTCTGGTCTAGTCCTGGTCCAGTCCTGTTCTAGTCCAGGTTCAGTCCAGTCCTGTTCTAGTCTTGGTCCGGTTGGCTCTCACACTTCAATAGGCTGAACTGGCTGCCTCCCTTCTTATGGAGGTACCCAGCTGTGGTCACGCCCCCAGGCATGGTGAGTAGGTTCTGGGCCCCTATTGCCCTCATGGGGATCGGCCACAAGGGCCCCGGCGACGCCATGCTCCTGCACACAGCACATTGACTCGGGTTAAAATTTTACAGGAGTCTTATTTTGTTCCTCACTTTCTTCTTAAATTATTATTTTTGTCGGGATATTCTCAGGGGATTTGTCTTAAAATGTGTTGATCTTACACAACAGAAATGGTAGAATAAAATTGTGTTGAATGAACCTTAAAAACATGTGTTTGTATGATTTGTGTTATTTTTTTCATGTTGGTTGCGTTTATGGCAGTGAACACATTAAGTGTAAGCAGGCTGTCACTGCCACAAATCTATTAGAGAAATCCCCATAGCCATCCATCCATTTTCTTCCCCTTAATTCATTTCTGGGTCGGGGGGGGGGGTGGCAGTTAGAGCTGCACCCTACAGATAGCCCCTCACTGATCCTCCTGCAGGTGGTGAGTCCACAGGAGACTTGATCTTTCAGCGGGGGCTTCAGGCAAAGTGGGGTTAAGTGTCTTGCCTAAGGACACAACGACAGCAATCATCAGTGGGAGTCATGAAGTAGGTCTTGTAGTGGGTTCGAACCCACGACCTTCAGGCCGATGCTCTACCAACTGAGCCACTGTCGCCCCAATAGCAACAAGCCAAAAACAAAGACAGATCATAAAAACCCTAGAATTGAACTTATGAAGTTCAGACTGTAACACTGACAAGTAAATAATAATAATAAAGAATAATTATCTGATAGTGAAGCTGTTTCTATCTATATTTAAAGCAAAACATAGCGATGATTGAGGGAATAAATCTAAAATGAAGCATCTGCTTTTTGGTCCTCAAAAAAATCTTCTACACTTGAACAAAGAATGGTAGTGAATCGAAATGAGCTTCCTCCGCAGGGAGGCTGGGCGCTCCCTTAGAGCTAGGGTGAGGAGCTCAGTCACACGGGAGGAGCTCGGAGTAGAGCCGCTGCTCCTCCACGTCGAGCGGAACCAGTTAAGGTGGCTCCGGCATCTGTTCAGGATGCCTCCCTGGGGAGGTGTTCCGGGCACGTCCCACCAACAGGAGCGCCGGGGAAGACCCAGGACACGCTGGAGGGACTATGTCTCTCAGCTGGCCTGAACGCCTTGGGGTCCCCCCCGGACGAGCTGGAGGAAGTGTGTGTGGATAGGGAAGTCTGGGCGTCTCTGCTTAGACTGCTGCCCCTGTGACCGGGCTGTGGGTGAAGCGGAAGAAAATGGATGGATGGGTATGAAATCCCTGAGTCATTTCAGCATCTCTCAAATGACCTAACTTTCAAGACACAAAAAAGGGAAACTAAGTATGAGTTCCTCGCTCTCAAAACTATTTGGTTCTATCACTAGTTTTCACATGTATGTATTTTAGACCGCTGTCACACCAGATGTAGCAATTTACTTTACTTTATATTCACTTTACAAGACTCGATAAAGGTTTGGGACTCCATCTTTGAGGTCAGTTCAAATAAAGTAAGAAAAAAGCTTCTAACTCACATGAAGCAAATTTATACATTTATATACATGTATACATATTCAACATAAAACAAAAGTGTTAGAAACTTCTAACATTGATTTCACAATGAATCTTTTCGAAAATAATTACATACTCACCAACTGTATCCACTAATGTGCGTTTTCAATGGGCATTTTAATTTAATCTAAAGAAAAATCTATTTCAGTCTAAGGAAAGTAAAGATGAATGGGATGATTACTGTACTAATAAGAGAAGATACAGTGCCTTGCGAAAGTATTCGGCCCCATTGAACCGTTCAACATTTCGCCACATTTCAGGCTTCAAACATAAAGATATAAAAATTACATTTTTTGTCAAGAATCAACAACAAGTGGGACACAATCGTTAAGTGGAACAAAATTTATTGGATAATTAAAAAAAATGTAACAAATAAAAAACTGAAAAGTGGGGCATGCAATATTATTCGGCCCCCTTGCGCTAATACTTTGTAGCGCCACCTTTTGCTGCAATTACAGCTGCAAGTCGCTTGGGGTATGTCTCTATCAGTTTTGCACACCGAGAGACTGGAATTCTTGCCCATTCTTCCTTGCAAAACAGCTCGAGCTCAGTGAGGTTGGATGGAGAGCGTTTGTGAACAGCAGTCTTCAGCTCTTTCCACAGATTCTCGATTGGATTCAGGTCTGGACTTTGACTTGGCCATTCTAACACCTGGATACGTCTATTTGTGAACCATTCCATTGTAGATTTGGCTTTATGTTTTGGATCATTGTCCTGTTGGAAGATAAATCTCCGTCCCAGTCTCAGGTCTTTTGCAGACTCCAACAGGTTTTCTTCCAGAATGGTCCTGTATTTGGCTCCATCCATCTTCCCATCAATTTTAGCCATCTTTCCTGTCCCTCGTGAAGAAAATCAGGCCCAAACCATGATGCTGCCACCACCATGTTTGACAGTGGGGATGGTGTGTTCAGGGTGATGAGCTGTGTTGCTTTTACGCCAAACAAATCGTTTTGCATTGTGGCTAAAAGTTTGATTTTGGTTTCATCTGATCAGAGCACCTTCTTCCACATGTTTGGTGTGTCTCCCAGGTGGCTTGTGGCAAACTTTAAACAAGACTTTTTATGATATCTTCGAGAAATGGCTTTCTTCTTGCCACTCTTCCATAAAGGCAGATTTATGTGCAAAACTGATAGAGACATACCCCAAGCGACTTGCAGCTGTAATTGCAGCAAAAGGTGGCGCTACAAAGTATTAACGCAAGGGGGCCGAATAATATTGCACGCCCCACTTTTCAGTTTTTTATTTGTTAAAATTTTTTAAATTATCCAATAAATTTTGTTCCACTTCACGATTGTGTCCCACTTGTTGTTGATTCTTGACAAAAAAAATAATTTTATCTTTATGTTTGAAGCCTGAAATGTGGCGAAATGTTGAAAGGTTCAAGGGGGCCGAATATTTTTGCAAGGCACTGTATGTTGATATGATATGTTTCTCATATGGGTCTCCCTCCTTGTGGGTTTCCCTAGTGCTCCCCAAGGTTTCTCACTTTTTCCCACTGGGTTTTTTAAGAGTTTTTCCTTGTCGATGCAGGAGGGTCTTGTTGGACAGTTAGTGTCCAACAGAAAGGATTGGTGATGATCAGGACACTTTAGCATTCTACAACATGTATGGACATTTTCTTCTGTGTGTGCTTTGTGTTTTGGCTGTTGATTCTCTGACCTGTGTTGGTGATTTCAATGGTTTTGTTAAGTCCTCTGAGATGACTTCTGTTGTGACCTAGGGCTATACAAGAATAAATTGTATTGTATTGTATTGTATTGTATATGAAATATAGAAGAGATTAACCCACTCAAGCACCAGGGACGTCCTGTTGAGCCACCTGTCGACACTGTCCACTGCAGAAGTCTGCCTGAGGAAAGTGACCCCAGACTGAAGCAAAGAGGGCAGCTCCATTAGGGACCAGGAAAGACAAAGGCACGTCCACACACTCACATGGAAACTTCAGACAGTCCCCTCTAAAGGTTCAACTTTTAGAGGGACAGCCCTGACACAGGACCTTTATCAATTCCCTTTTTCAAATTCCCAAATTAGACAAACAGCTGTCTCAAAAGTTTTCCAACATTTTTTGGATTTGCCAATAGCAGATTGAAGGTCAAAAAAGATTAACAAATTAAAAAAATGGATGCATGTTTTTAGACCCTCCTTCCTCAGCAAGACAATCTCCAAAAGATCCAGATGGAAATAGGGAAAGCCCAGATAGAACCGCAGAAAAGGAGTGATCCGTTACTTCTATTGCAAATGACAGGCTGAACATTTGCAGATGAAGTCTCCAGTAGCCTCTGTCTCTTCATGGGATGCTCAATTCTGGCAGTAGTCTGCCTGGTCTGATGGTCCTGCGACAATCTCACGCTTGTCTGTCTGTTCTGAGATGTGTTCCTTGTTGTAGGATTTTTACAGATTGGGATCAGTGCCCCTCCCTCACTAATAAACACTGCACACAGATAAGAGTCTTGTGCAAACACGGTTTACAGGAACTAACAAAATGTAGCCGGAGTTCTTTTTTTTTATGACTGAAATATTTATTACGTTTTATCATACAGGGGAAGGAAGGGAGGGTGACGCGCGTTTGAGTATCAAAATGCACAAACATCTCGGGACGCACAAACGGACTGTTCAGTAGAGACGCACGGACTGCGCGGGAAAGTCAAAGAGGAGGAGCAGGAGCGGAAAATAGACGCCCACAGGAGATAAACTTTGCTCAACCTTTCCTCGGGACGTTCGTGCAGCGACCAATCACAGAGCCGCAAAGTGGTCACGGGGACATTAGTGGTCTGAGCGAGCAGACTGAACATACAGTAAACAGCCAAAACAGGAGCTGCACCTCGACTTAAAACCAGGGTTGACAATGGGGGACTGTGTGCTTGTGAATATATGCGTTGTCATGCTCCCGTGACTTTATGCAACCGCTTCGAGTGTGTTCACCGATGCGCAAGTACCGTTTATTAATAAAATAAACTTATTGCGCACCTCCGTGAACACATACTACTGTTATATAAACTCCGTGGAAGGTCTCTGAACACAGACACCCTGCAAAGCTGCATTATTGGAGAAGATCTTTACACGAGAAGCTGCTAGCATAACTCTGTTAGAATCAGAGCCGGCCGGCTACTTCCGCCACTTCCGGTGCTGGCCAGGACGTTCTGGTGTGAAGACCCCTGCTAGAGAGCATTTGGAGGATCCAGAAGAGGAATGGAAGAATATCATATGGTCAGATGAAACCAAAATAAAACTTTTTGGTATAAACTCAACTTGTCGTGTTTGGAGGAGAAAGAATGCTGAGTCTTATCTAAAGAACACCATACCAACTGTGAAGCATGGGGGTGGAAATGTCATGTTTTGGGGCTGTTTTTCTGCAAAGGGACCAGGACGACTGATCCATGGAAAGGAAAGAATGAATGGGGCCATGTATCGTGAGATTTTAAATGAAAACCTCCTTCCATCAGCAAGGGCATTAAAGATGAAACGTGGCTGAGTCTTTCAGCATGACAATGATCCCAAACACACCGCCCGGGAAACCAAGGAGTGGCTTTGTAAGAAGCATTTCAAGGTCCCGGAGTGGCCAAGCCAGTCTCTAGATCAGGGGTCACCAACGCGGTGCCCGCGGGCACCAGGTCGCCCGCAAGGCCCAGATGAGTCGCCCGCTGGCCTGTTCTAAAAATAGCTCAAATGGCAGCACTTACCAGTGCTATTCTTGTTTAAATCATACTTACATCCATCCATCCATCCATTTTCTACCCTTTAATCCATTTCTGGGTCAGGGGGGTGGCAGTCAGAGATGCCACCCAAGTCTCATAGCACCAGCCCCTCACTGATCCTCTGCAGGTGGTGAGTCCACAGGAGGACAGCTGCTCTCTGAGTGTGAGCATAGCCTTGATCTTTCAGTGGGGGCTTTGGGCAAAGTGGGGTTAAGTGTCTTGCCCAAGGACACAACGACAGCAGTCATCAGTGGGAGTCGATGGAGAAGGTGTAGAGGTGGGAATTGAACCCACGACCTTCTGGCCTTAAGGCCAATGCTCTACCAACTGAGCTACTGTCGCCTTTAGTAAGTAAGTAATCTTTATTTATATACCGCCTTTTCACTGCAGATCTGAGTCTCGAAGCGGTTTACAATTGTTAATTTTTGGGCATTTGTCTCTCACTCCACACAGAGATGGGAGCGGGGTCGCCAGTACAGGAGGCGCATGCCAGAACTATTGGACATATTTTTAGTGGTAGGGGAAACCGGAGTACCCGGAGGAAACCTACGCAGACACGGGGAGAACATGCAAAGTCCACTCAGAAAGGCCCTGGTCCGACTGGGATTCCAACCCAGGACCTTCTTGCTGAGAGGCGAGAGTGCTATCCACTCAGCCACCGTGCCGCCCGATTAGGTCAAACCCAATACAGTGGGTTGCAAACATTCATATACAACATAAAGATTTAATTTATGTTTTGGTTTTGTTTTCAATCAGGAGAGAAATGAAAGGAGTTTTTTAAAGATGAAAGTTTCCCATCCACTCCCATTACACTGGCCGAGTGGGTGGGCCTGGAAATCCATATATGGTTTACCCACAACTGTCCCATTGTCGGCACGCATCTATTTTCAGCACCAGTATTTCAAAGAAATAATGTGTCATTCTTTTTGGGTCTTGCTGTTTGACAAGTACTGTACTGTCCTGCAGTTGACGTAATATATTTTATTTTCATCTCACCTTAAATTTGAAAGAATTTTCAAAGTACTATATTTTGAGGCTTTGGCCGCAAATGTCTATCGTAATTTCTCTGCTCACTTTTCAACTTCCAAACATTCTGACTCCACGTCACTCAAACATGTTCGATTCAATATGTTACGTATCCTTTTTTCCAACAACCTATGCCAAACAGTAGTAATCTGTAGCTAGTCTTTAGTATTACATGGTAAATACAGGCAGTAACATATAACATTTATAATGTGAATGGCCTGACTCACTTGTGGTCCAGCATACACATCCTCACGACCGGTTTGGAGCAATGCGCAAATGATTTCTTCTTCCTTACAGACACTGCCGCCATTTTGGGCCCTTACTGACACTCATCAGCATACTGCGGACACATGGGGCCACACTGGGGCCAGGACTGGGACCAGGACTGGGACCAGGACTGGGACCAGGACTGGGACCAGGACTGGGTCACAATGTATGTACCACACAGCACTGGGTGGATAGAGGGGAAGTGCTGCCTTTCGAGCATTTCCTCCCTTGTTTTAGTCTGCTCCGCAATTGGACAAGCTCAGACTTCCTGTTTCCTTAGAGCTGGTGGTTGATTGGGTGATCTGTGTGTTTGCCACAAAGCAGGTTTCATTTTGATAAGGAGTTCTCATTTGTTTAATTTTGTCATTTGACCAGAGGTGACAAATGTTGTTGTCTGAAGTAGGCTAGAGCTGCCTAGAGGCAGGCTAGGACCATCCGGCCATCACCTTTCACCCACACACAAGCCAAAAGCATAGATACTCATAAAAGGTTGTGATACTCATTGACCTTATTACCCTACATCAGTGAAAGTAAAGAAGGTGTATTACATATTGATGTGGATTTAAAGCCACATGTATTTTTCACAGCTGCTCCATATGAAAAAAAAAACATGTTAACTAATAACAAATGTGACCTTTTTTAAAAACTGTGTTTTTTGAATTGTATTCATAGGCTTAGAATTTAACATATAAGTGTCCATGAGAGAGGAGTGCTCTCCGTGTGCCATCTTGACAAACGGTGGTGGACAAGGAACAAAAAGGATGCGAGAATCGCGTTTTTGTTTCGCATGAACTACTGATGTAGTTGCTTTCACCGTGCCTTCACAAGTTGGAAGAAGGAACCATGGAGGACCAGAGTTATATAAAAGAACCATGAAGGACCACAGTTATATTAAAGAACAATCCGAACAACAATAGAAAAATAATCATACAGAAGTCCAGGCTCTCAGCAGCAAAGTGTTAACATCACAAACCACACGCACTGAAAGACAGCGTTAACACAACAGGAGGCACATCGTGTAGTCTGTACACAACAGACTAACACGTGAACAATAGGTAAATTTTTTCACACTGACAATACTGAGAAGGAGGCAGAATCTGCAACACAGTCTCAGAATGTTCTGACCCGATCCGAGCGCAGTCCAACTATGTCACAAGTTTCAACTACACTTATTCAGGGACAAGCCTCAAATAAAACACACACAGAATCCTCACAAAACAATCGCCAGAAAACTTTATCAGCAGCGTGAGTGAATGTTCTGTTTTCTTATCGTGATGCAGACGTTATTCCTCCATGCATCTCTTCTCTTCACACCGCGTTTGTAAAACTATATAATATAATAGATCCATGGTAAAACTCAGTAGAGCCTCTGTGCAGGGTGTCGCGTCTGAACGTGGTCTTGTTTACAAGTCGGCTCCATGCAACTGTCCGGTGCCCGAGACGTTTGGAGAGATCCGGTCATTTATCAAACTAAAGTATTCTTTCCTTGGCAGTCTGGTTAATGACTGAAAGGCTTCCGTACTATATTTGACTGCAATATAAGATCTCAACGCTAGATGGCAGTAAAAATTACACGATGTTACACGATTACACGATGTACCATACTTTTTTAAAGCAAAAGTATGAAACTTTGCGCTGGTCATGATTCCATGAAAATAGAAAGTGAAACCAGCCAGAGATTCCATTTCCTTGGGGATTTTTCAATTCAATGTTGTCTTGTACAGTCCTAAATCACAACAGGAGTTATCTCAGAGGACTTGAATTTGCCAACACAGAACAGAGAATCAAACAGTTCAAACGCAAACAATGCAATGATAAATAAACACAAAGAGACATTGGTCCATAAGGGGCCGATGACATATGTCCATAAATGTTGTTGAATGTTCTGGATCATCACCACTGTCCATTGATCCTCCTGCATTGGTAAGAGAAAATTCTAATTAAAAAAAAACCCAGTGGGGAAAAAGTGGGAAACCTCTGGGAAGCCCACATGATTTATCAACAGATTATGAATGATAACAAAAAAAACCCAGTCATGGTTTGTTTAGTGAAGCCATTTATTTTCTGCTTTCAAATAATAACATAATTGAGCCGCTCTGGGAAGATTTTACATGAATATACATGAGCCGGAGGCAAGAACAATGGGCAGGTTTAACATTAGAGAGAATACAGAACCTTATCCTCATTATGTTCAGGGAGCAACACACACTACTGCGAACTGGAGGATGGAGACAAGAAATGGCTTAATGCAATCACTAACAAGCAAAACAAGTGTTTGTCATCGTTCATTAGGGGAACATTCCTGCCTTGGTGTGAACTTTCAAGCACAACTGTGTTCTTACATTTGAAGCATTGGTTAACCACTTCACATCTGTATTACTAGAAGCACAGCTAACCACTTCACACCTGTGTAAGTAAACTTAGAGCTTTGGTAACCAATTCACATATGTATAATTAATTTTAGAAGCAAGACTAACCAATTTACACCTGTATTTGTGAGCTTAGAAGCATGGCTAACATCTTTCAAGGAGTTATACCCATTTCTGCAAGGTTTGAATGTTTAGCAGCGCCACCCAACCCGCTCACATGCTTTTCATTTCCGCTACGCTCTCCTGCCACGGAGCCATCTAGTTTTATTTGCGATCTGATACATATGCAAACATTAGCATGAGCGCAACTTCTTGTAAGCTGTACAACAATCACTGATGAAATGGTACAAAAGCAACACTAACAAAATATATAAATGAAAGATTACCGCTAGTTTCGCGTCCAAATGTAGTCTGAGCCGGTCCTGCACCCGCAGGTCTCTCCCATCGTCAGCACTAGATGATATATATTCCCATAAAATAACCTCAACCCACCCTCAACCCCAACCTTAACCATCTTACTCAGATGCCTAAAACTTAACCAGTCACCATTTAAGGACTTTTTAGTCTAAAACTAATTCAAAAGTAGGATTGTTACTTCCGGTTTCGTCCCGATTCCGTATATGATCTAGTGCCAACCTCTCTCCCATGGACTGTAAGTCTCTCCAGAGGACACGATGTAAGCTAGCTATGTTCACCCGGGCCTTGATTTCTTCTTTGATCATTTTTTCGCTTTAGTTCCCTCTTCTCTTCTTCTCTGTTGCGTCTTTTTAAACTGTTTTGCTGTGTCTGCAGTTACAGCAAGAAGAGTTATAGCCAATTCTGCTAACAGGCTACTGTGTTTAGCAGCGCTGTAGAGTCTAGAGGACGCAGCCTCGTTCTGTGATTGGAGGAGAGCGAGCACTTTTTATGGCCTGAATTCATACACAAGCTGAATCAATGAGCTCAAGTTTTCAATTAAATTACGGATTATAATACAACTTCTATGTATTAATAAGCATTTTTATGAACTCATTAAAAAAATTGGGTATAGCTTCTTTAAATCTGTAGTATATTAGAAGCTAGCTATTCATGTAACTGCTGTATTATTGACATGGATTATGGACAAAGTTTCTACCGATGTTTTGTGGTTCTTGTTTACGTTGAGAAAATGAAAAGTGTCCTGAAAATAAAGATACCAGGAAAAAGTTTATCATCTTTAGTTTTTTTCAGGGTTGAATATTGTCTTTTTAATTGTTTTAGTGCACCAGAAAATGTATAATTCGAATCCAACGGTGATCAAAAGTTACATCACCGTTAGATCAACAAATCTAACAAGGTGTAACTTTTGATCCTCCGATCAAAAGTGGGACTTTTATCTTGTCTGCAACTATAACCATAATTTACAAGTCAGATGTCAACACTTAAGTCACGGTTTTACTCAAAAATAACAATAACTATGAAGAGAGTATTGAGCAGAGGGTGGCCATAGTGATGCATTCTGGGGGGTTTCCACTTTCCAGAGGCCAGTGTCGGCAGCACTTCCTGTCGGCCTCACAACACTTTCACTTTCAAATGAGTGACGTAACAAGACGGGTGGATTTTTCATTAGAAGTCCATTGGTGTCATTTCAAGTCTTCAAAATGATAGTTATAATTCAAGATAGGAAATGGGTCTCTTCGCATTTTTTTTTGTCATTGCACAATGTCCCTGTCAATGTATTGTTCAGACCGGACTTACGAGCTCATTTTGTGTGCAAAGAATTAATAAACAGCATGGCCTAGTTAGCATTTAAAATAAGGTAAAATACAACACCCCTAACCACCACCACGTTCGCAATATGTGTGTTGTATATATTGTGTATATAGATACACAATATATACAACACACAATTATTTACATCTAATTAATGTAAATAATAATCTAACTGCACACATGATTATCTATGGCTTTAGGCAGAGTTTGAACTGTCCCTTTGAGCTACCCTCCCTCACAGACTGAGGTAAGAAGTTCCAGGCCCGTGCAGTTCTGTCCAAATGAGGATGAGGACGTTCACATAACGGTCTCCTCTGGATGTAACTGTGACGTCAGCACTCAATTAATCCACTCCTAATATACAGGCACTTCAGTTTCAAAATACAAAGTGCATAAGAAAACAGATTTAAAAATAAATGCTTACCCCTAATTTAGATCAATATTGAGATTTCATCCATCTATCCATCTTCTTCCCCTTAATCCATTTATGGGTTAGAGGGGTGGCAGTCAGAGCTTCACCCAGTACACTTAGCACCAGCCCCTCACTGATCCTCCTGTAGTTGGTGAGTCCACAGGAGCTGAGATCTTTCAGCGGGGGCTTCAGGCAAAGTGGGGTTAAGTGTCTTGCCCAAGGACACAATGACAGCAGACATAAGTGGGAGTCGTGAAGTAGGTCTTACAGTGAGCTCGAACCCACGACCTTCAAGCCCAAAAGCCAAAGCTCTACGAAGTGTGCTAAATATTGGGACTGGGAAAATTATTGCTTTAAATTACCTTAAAATACTGGAGATATTCCCAAAACTAACTTTAGTGGCAAAAATGTTGTTGTTCAAAGGTGAGAAAACAGCCCTGGCCATGTTTGTATCATCATAGGATTCATCAACGAGTTTAACAACATAGCATTTAGTCAGAAAGGTTAGGGAACATGTTTGTGCCAGACGTT